TTGAGTAAGACTAGCAAAGGGAGTAGTATCTTTTAAAGACTAAATTTATCTGAGGAAATATGCCACTGTTGGGACACCACTTGTGGAACTGCTCAGCAAGTGAGTAAAGAGCTTAGAGGGGATAAAATAGCTAATAAGACTATGAAATAGTAGAATTAGTATTGGTGTGTGGGTGAGACTGCCCTCTTGTCTAGCTTGCGGGAAAGTCACACTAAGAAAAATAAGAGTGTGGCTTATTTCTAAATTTATCTTAGTGTTGAAACTCCTGTTGTTGTTGCTTAAGAATACCTGTTGAGGAGGTACGGCGTTTTATGGGGTTTTCTGAGTAATAAGGGTTTCTGTAGGGTTTCTCTGTTAAATCTGTTATAAATTCTCTCTGATTCTCTGATCTTATAAATCTCTCTGGTTTCTCTGGGCTCTGATAAAGGTACTCTTATTTCTCTAATTTCTTTCAAAGAGGTGAGAATGGCTAAGTAATATTTCTGTATTACTTTTCTATGGCCAAAATTGAGGTAAGGGAAGTTCAAGGGCTCTAATAATCTCTGGATCTCTTTAATCAAGGGTGATGAAAGCTGAGTAATATCTCTGATTACTGTTCTGTAGCTAGCATGAGGAGGGAGAAAGCAAAACATGAGCCAGAGGAGCCTCTATTTATAGACAAATGGTTCTGCAGTACAGGGGTTTTTTGGCCTGAACACAAGTTCGTCTGTGAAGGGTACTTCTAGAGTGGTTTTTACTACTCTGAGATGGCCTAATCTGATATGAATTAATCTCTAAGTGCCTTTCTGATACAAGAGGTTGTAAATCTACTATATGAGGCCTATTCTTAGATTATTTAATATGAGAATGGTATTCATAGACTAATTAGTATAAGAGTTATTTTCTGGAACTAGTCTGTGAAGCACTTTCTAATCAGTAGCTTGTTTTACTAATCTAAGATGAATGTATTATAGTTCTACAGGTTATTTGTATATTTTTTTATTCATGGGAAATTGAATATCTTAAGCCCATTCTGCGAATTAATTAACTACAATTTAGCCCTGTAATATTTATGTGGTTTGTTTCCTAACCTACCCCCTTCCCTCTAGTATTTTATCTACTATGTATACGTAATAAAGTGTTTTTATTTATGGGCTATGGGTTTGATTATTCTCACCACAGCGTAAATCTTTGAACGAAGTCGGCCCTCGTTTGTGCAGTAGAAGTAAACGGATATAATAACGTTCACCCTGGTGGATTGACACAAAATGTAACCTTCCCACAGTGTCCAATGGTCTCAACCTCGGCCTCCACTCTTTCCCTTCTGCCCACCAGAAATACTTTGGGAATTCTTGATAAGTCAAATGTTTGGCCTCGTGCCCGAGCGCGGAAATATTTTCTGCACAAGCTCGAAAAAAGTCAATCAACGTTGTTGTTGCCGGCACGCCTGAGTCAATCTCTTTTGTTTCGCCTTCCCCTTTCCTGAAGAGTAATTTTTTGGACCCCTCATTGTGCAGAGCTAGCCGTTGAACTGCAGGGTACCGATCTGACAACTCGTATTGGAAAAGACGCCATGCGGCTAGAAGATAACACCCATCAATAACAGAACACCATCGAATTTGAGGCAGAAACATACCTTCTGGAGGACTGATGTATTGAGCGTCTATGAATGCTTTGGTTTCATCCTGATCTTGCAACGCGAGGTAACTGCGATCGTGACCTTTTGTGATATATTTGTAGATGTATTTGACTGCTTCAATCCCGACTGCCACTTCTACATTGATATGACAATTGAAGTACAACGATAAAAATTTGTTGTAAGGAACCACATCCCTCGAATCAAAGGATTTATTCCCTTTTCTAAATGATATTCCAGTTTCACGCCTTCGGTATGCGGGATAGGAACCTTCAACGAAATCGGTCTCTTCTTTAAAGTCTTTTGGATACCGATATTTGCATTTTCCGTTAATAAAACACGCTCGACCTTGGCATGGCCCGTGGAGCATGCATTTAGTCACGATATCGTATAATAAGGGTTCGTCCTTTTCATCAGGAATTTCTGCGCAAACCAAAGTGTCGACTGCAGCTGGAGTTGTTGGCCGAGAGCTTTCATCCAGAGTTAACATCATATGAATGTGAGGGAGACCTCGCTTCTGGAACTCAATGGTATAAACGTAAGAGACGACTTTTCCTAGACGATCCATTTTCAATAATTGTCGCAAATACTCCTTGATTTTTTGATGGAAGACACGTGCGATCACTACTGGATGATTCGAGGGATCATCTCCATCAGGAATCTCCGCTTTGATCTCCGGCCAATGGCTATTTGCTGTCATCGTCAGGAAAAGGCTAGGTGCCCCGTATTCTCGCACCAGTGCCATCGCGTCTTGGAACAATTGAGATAAAGCGCGAGGACCACCAATAAAAGTTGAAGGGAGGATTACCTTCTTCCCAGTTCCAACATCTTGACTTCCAAACGACTCAATGATTCCGTGATAAATTTGAACTTGAAGTTTGTCTTGATTATTCCGAAACCAGTTCAAACGTGACCTCTCGACGCAGATGTACATGTCGACCAACAGCTCCTGGAACAACGAACGACCGAGGAGAATGCTAGAGAAAGTCCCGCGTCGTGCAAATAACAGATACGCAAACCACTCGAGTTGGGAAACCTTTCTACCTGTAATTCTTTGTCAGCTAGAAGCTACACTCGAAAATCAAGAAATACGTACATCTTCCAATGCTAGCCCTATATGTCGGCTCCCATTGCTGGGATCCATACAAGAAGAATAGTGGGTAGCGAAGCGGGAAATAGGCCGAATGCAGGTCGCTGATGTATTTCAGTTCCCCAGAATGAGTCGTGAGTTGAATCTGCCTCTTATCCTTAATGAGGCCTGATCCTGAAATAATAAATCCAACTTCATCAACCGTAGGCTCATTATATCGTTTGTTATTTTTTCCTGAATACTTGACGGTTGTAAAAACAAGCTTTGTAGCTCGATTCAATCTCGCAATCTGCCATGCTGCTTTAAAGGCTTTGGCATAAGGGTTATGGCTGTACATAAACTCTTGCAATTTGCTGACAATTTCGGGATCTAAGCTGATAGTATTAACTGGAGTTTCAGGTGAGCTTGAAGTCGCAGCCCTCATCCTATCGTGAACTTCTGCCTCGCCACCACTACCTACGACAAATATCTGCGCAAATTTTGGTGCTTCGCCCTCAGGTGGAAGAATATCGCCGATCCGATGACCGAGATTCCCCTTGATAGTAAATACGTTTGGTCCACCAGGAGAGCTTTTCTTTTGTTTAAATGTAGTCCCTAGTGACGTGAAAGAGATACTGTTGTTATATGCGCGTATGAGTCTTTGAAAATTCTTCGCCCCTATTGAAGTATTAATATGTTAATTTTTGTTAAGCCCAATACCAATAATTTATGCTTACGGGCCGTCCTTTCTGTCAAAAGAAGCTGCATCCAATCGGGAACTGTAGGCGTCAACGGATCGGACATTGGTAAATCGACTTGGCCTTTTTGACAACAAATAGAATACAGGTGTCGGTTTCGCCTTTGGTCCTCGACTGTTCTTTCTTCCAACCAATGTAAAGCTTTACAACTATCACATTCATCATTGCACGCGCCTAAAGTATATGGGAAAGTGAGGCCCCTAATATTTAATATGTTAACCTCTGTATTTGTTTCAGGAGTTAAAGCAGCTGGACCCGCGCGTTCCATTGGCAACAGAGCACACCGAATTGAGTGAAATGAGCAATTGGTGTTGGGGAGGTATTTGTTAGTTTCAAGTGAATAATCTAAGAAAAGGGTGAAGTTTCTGTTAATATGATAAGATAATGATATGAGGTAAAGATGGCAGGAACATGTATATGATAGAACAAGCTGGAACTTAATGATCGAGTCGCCGCCCTAGGCACTAAGATTAATTTACCGAAGGGTAACCCTTCAACTGAAGGCTATAAAAGGCAATGTTCAATCGCACATAGAGTAATTACTTAAAAAGGATTTTTCAAGAGCCCTGATTGAAAATGAACTTTTTTCGAGCTTTCTTTGCATCGATAGGAGCAAGGGGCGAAATTGGGCCCCTGTAGGTGTTTGCTATTGGAGAATCCTTAGGGCCAATAATCTTGTTCCAATTCAAGTCCGCTAAAGTCAATTCCTCACACCAAAGGAGGGCACCACACTCATTAATGGGGAGAGTTTTTGCGGGCAAAATGCTATGAATTGCATGTTTGGAATTGGGAGTGCTGTAAGCGAAGGATGAACGTTGCAAAAGGCAAAGGTGTGGTTTCCAACAATCAAATTTATTGATTTATTAAGACTAAACACATAAATGCCAATTTGATATCAACTAATCCCTTTATTTTGCCTGATTGTTATTGTCAAGTCTGCAAAGAATCATTTCGTTGTAAAGGTTTACCTGATTCTTATGTACCAAAAAAATCAACCCATCAGATACAGAAGTATTTGAGCACAATTGTTGCTTCCTTGACTTCAATTCTTGGTTACACGTTGGGATCGAACGCGCGACCTCTCGTTCTCCCTATGTAATGCCCAAATATGGCTAGATTTTCAACTTAGACTTAAAGGCCTTATTAAGGTTGGTGGGGAGTATCCCATCTTTCTTGGTTTTTTAAGCTCTAAATCTCAACTCCTAGTCGTCAGAGGGCGTTTCAGGTCGCTCCAATCTGAGGGTTTTTGCTCCTCTGAGTGAAATCTGGACGTTTATGTATCAGATCGATATGGATGATTGGCGATGGATACAAAGACAATGACAACACAGGACAATGATTCTGGACGATAGCCTAAATGATCACATCTCCGATGTCGGTAGAGCAAGATTAAAGTCAAGAATAAAAGGAAATACACATTATATATTGGATTCAGACCTTAAATTGTAAGGTTGATTGTACTCATAAGAGATCATACTTTTTTTGGTTGAATTCTTCAGATGATGAAGTTTTCACATCGATAGGTTCAATCTTTAAAGAATAAGGTTACTGCAACCAATCAGACATCATCTTTCTTCCGCTTTGCTGGTTCAGACAATGAAATTTTCCCACGTTTGCGTGGGGAAGACTGAGATGGAAGCTCAACCGATTGGTTGTTCCCCTCAGTTTCAACTGGGTCGTGATTGGTTTCATTCTGGGAAGCAATATCTTCGACCAAGGACAAGCAACCGGTAGACGAACCGATACCTTGATCCAAGATTGGAGCACTTGGATCTCGCCTTTCTCTCGATTGAGTACGTTGGGAAAAATGTACTCTGTATGGATATCAGCCTAAATTAACACGAAAAGAGGATTTATTGGGTAAACACTAACACATTCCTGCCTGGACGTGATGGGCTGTTATTTGGTGTAGTCCTGTTACCTGTCACCTGAACCCGGGCGGCATTTGGTGGGTTAATCCAACTTAAGGCGAGGACCTACGAGTATATTTGAATTTCAAGTTAGGGGCGTCATTTTGTCCTAAGTCAGAGGAGGTCAAGGACTCACTTCGACCACAGGCATCTCTTTGTCCATATCCCAATCACATAAGAAACCGATGAGAAAAAACTCTCGATTCGGTTGGAATAGAACATGGGTATTGGCCATATTGCGACGGCCGGGAATCTTATACCTAACGTTAAACGCACGAACACAGCGCGCCTAAATGAAGATGTTAGTTGATTATGATCTCCCAAAAGACCAATTTCAATGTACCTGGGGGTCCCAATCATTGTGAAGCATTGTCACCATTAAGTTATTTTCTACGACTCCGTTGTTGTCAGTAGTTTCGCGATCGACGGAGATAGCAGTGCCGATTGCATCCACAGAGGTTTTATTGGTAACATCGCCAATGAAATGATCGGTTTTACAGACCCTGATCATAGTCTCAGGAAAGTAGGTAAAGATGGGCGGTGAGTCTGGGCCCATTACCATTAGCTTCCCAGTGAGAGAATAAACATATCCAGCTTCGAGCGAAAAAGGAGCTGAGGTGTTTGCAGAGAGGATGACTTCATAATCGGTTGGGTCTGCTGGGTTACAAGATATAAAGCCAGGCGCAGTGAAAATACCGTACTGTTGGCCAGAAGGAAGGTTTGCGGAAGACTAATCGGCGAAATCAATGTAAAGTCCTTGATTTTACGGAAGTGAGGAAAGGACTTACTCCTTCTGTAACATAGGCTAAATGTTTGGCAGATACAGGGTGATTTGGGGGACGGCTATTTTTTTCAGACATGATGATGAATCGATGTGCTCTGGATTCTGGCAAATTGGCAGAAGCCCTTGACTTTATAAGTTTTTCAACATAGCGGTGTGCATGTTTCTCTATAGGGGTCTAGGAGCGATTGCAGTTAGGTTGTGACATAGTCCTTCTGTTGTGGAAATTTTATCCCTACATGAAGAAGTTTACCAATCGTTGACTAAGCTTATATTGCACAGAGGGCGAATGGATAGTGAACAAGCAACGATTTATCGGTACAGGAATGCAGTACAAATGGTTAAACAACGGACGGGAAAGGGAGCAATCAGATTTCCCAAAAAAGCACACGACATATCACAGGAGAAGGGATTCGCTTGAACTGTGTCATGTCATTATTGGGTGAATAGAGCGATTCAGGTATTGGGAAGAGGAACAGATTTATTTCGACCAATAGAAGGATCTTGATCTTAAATTGTAAGTATGAGGGTTTTGGTAATTGTGGAACAATTCAATTGTTTCGGCCTGAATATAAGCTGAAATCAGTGCTTGAAACCCGATCTCTCAGAAAGACCAACTTACGGCGATATGGAGGGACCGGCCTTTCTCAAATGCAATCGCTCCTGAATAAAGGATGACATTGGAGGGGATGAGGCCCATCAGATGTTCCTTGTTGACTAAAGGCGAGGCATGGAGAACGAATGTTGGTCCAAAGTCCTAATGTAAGGGGCAAAGGAGAACGATTGAGCTATGTTTGTTGTGTGAAGTTTCTATGATGAAAGTGCGTACAGGACCTTTGATTAAGGAGAACCCTTCGATGCGGGGTGAAACCTTGGAAATGCACATAGTACCTGTCATTATTGGGGAGAGTGTGTGTCGATGGACGGGATCAGGTAGAATGTCCCAAGACTGAGAATCGACATGAATTTCAAGGCACAAGCGGGTTTCACGGATGGATTCAAGGTTGAGAGTGCCTAAGAATGTTAACCATCCGGTGGTAGTGAAAGGGGGGGAGGTACCTTTTGAAAGGACTATTTTGTAGAGGGGTTGGGAATACTGGGAGTGGGTACTTGGTATTGGAGGGGGGGAATATAAGACTGTGTAAGACGTATCTGTGAAAGATACTTGACGAGTCATGTGAAGGGGGATTGAGGCGTGTATAGAGGCCATGGTGAATAGAGGAAGGAGTGGGGAGTGGAGGATGGACCTGATTGGATCAACTTTTATGAGGAGCGGGTTTGATGATGGTTGAAGGCGATGAGGAATGAGGGGGTAGGAAAAGGCAACTACAATAATTTTGGAGCCCTGAGCAAACAACGAGTCGAGAACTCTATAATCCAATTACGGAACAACTCAATGTAGGCTTAGGCGATAGTTGTGGCATTTCCGGCCGACAAGGTACCGCAATTGCTATTGTGAAGCGACTGTGTTTCCGATTGCGGTTGAATGTGAGGAGGAGATGGAAGCGGACTTGGTGTCGATGACTCCGCAAATAGTAGAAGGATACAAAATGTGTATTAGTGACCGGCGTGTGGGATTTGGTTAAAATGTTAATGTCCCAAGAGTTCAGGAAAATGCTAACCCAGCCTTTGGATAAAGAAAGGTAATTGAAAAAACTATAGAAAAAGGCAATGGGAATAATTATCGAAATCACCAACGGAAAAGGAGGAGAAGAGGGTGACAGAGGGTTGCATTGGATGTGGAGTCGATGAGTCCGGTTAAAGGAAACAGATTGAACCTGTTGCGCAATGTGCGCCATGGGCGGGATGTTAAAGGAAATACTTTTGAGGATGGAAGGAGGATTCAACATCGGGTACTGAATTGGAATGACAAGAGGGTGATAAGGTACATAGGCTACAGGGTGGAAGGGTGCAGGTGATCGGGAATAGTTGTGTTTTGGCGAGGGATGAATGATAGTGATATGAAAAAGGGAATCTGAAGGGGTAGGGTTAGTGCGGGGATAGGAAAAAGTCTAGGGAGCAAGGTTAAATATTGAGTTGAGATAATGGGAAAGGTATGTTTTTTTTTGTTAGGTGGAATAGGAAATGCGTGAGAAGCGGGGGGTTTTATGTCGGATTCCTATTCGTGTCAGAGTGGGAGGTGAAACAAAGGCGGAGGCTTGAGTATAAAAGGAGATCTACCGTGAAGGGTTAATCGCCATCGTATGATTCTTGTTCGGCGGCATCGCTTAGAATCATACGATCCGGGGAACATACCCGAGGCCAGGATGAGATTAAATTTTTTTTAGGCAAAGACGGTTTGCTTAATACTAAACTGTTAATTGCAACTTTCTAGCTTCTACATACTTATAATTATGAGTTATGTTTATTGTATCTTAATTGATATCTCTATTACTTGTCACTGTCAAGAGTGTTACTACAGGTGTTACACTCTTGCCAGTTGACAGTGCTCTCTCGACGGCCGAGAGAGTTTCTCTCAGCCGTCGAGGGTCTACAACCTCAACGGCCGAAAGAAAGCTCTCGGCCGTCGAGGCTGTACACCTCAACGGCCGAGTGAAACCTCTCGGCCATCGAGGGTGTACACCTCAACGACCAAGAGGGTTTCCTCTCGGTCGTTGAGAATGTAAACCCTCGACGGCCGGGAGGAATCCTCTCGGCCGTCGAGAGTGTATACCCTCAACGACTGGGAGGTACACTCTCGGTCGTTGAGAATGTAAACCCTCGACGGCCGGGAGGAATCCTCTCGGCCGTCGAGAGTGTATACCCTCAACGACCGGGAGGTACACTCTCGGCCGTTGAGGGTTTACATTCTCAACGAACAAGAGGAAACCCTCTCGGCTGTTGAGGTGTACACCCTCAATGGCCGAGAAATTTTACTCGGCCGTTGAGGGGTACACCCTCGACGGCCGAGAGGTCTCAACGGCCGAGAAGTTTCCCTCGGCCGTTGAGGTGTACACCCTCCACCGCCGAGAGAAACTCCCGGCCGTTGAGGGTTATACTCAACGGCCAAGAGAAACCCTCTCGGCCGTTGAGGTTGTAGACCCTCGACGGCTGAGAGGAACTCTCTCGGCCGTCGAGAGAGCACTCTCCGCGGCCGGGAGGAATCCTCCCGGCCACTGGTTTTTTTTTTTTGATCACCGACCCCCCAAAACAAGTGGTTTTGGGGCATCGACACCCAACCCCTCCGGGGTTTTTCTTTTTTTTTTATTTAAATTTTTTGGGGGGACCAACTCCCAAACCCAAGGATGGATTTGGGGAATCGACTCCCCAAATTTCGGGGAAACCCGGGTTTGGGAGTCGACTCTCCAATTTTTTGGGAGTCGGTTGACTAACTCCCTTTCAAAAATTAAGACAAATCATCAGCCACGTTGCTGATGGGCCAACATTGTGCTGCTGATGCTACAAAATTCACAGTCTCTCAGAAACTTTGAGCCATCAAGCAAGCTTCCAGACTTCTCAGCAGATGCTGCCCCACTGGCTGCTGCCATGGCATATGTAGGTGTTTTTGTGACGACAGCCTGTGGTTGTTTCTGAAGACAGCCTGTGATGAACTGGGCTACATCATGTGAAACCACACATGTGAATGTGACACTGGGTGTGACAGTGTTTGAATGTAAATTGCATATTCACTTTGGAACCACAACCCAACCATGTGCACCATCGCCAAACGAAATTTCCGCCTGAAACAGCATCAACCTCGACTGCCTGGGCTACATTCTGTTACTAACCTCACCCAATAATACCTCAATATGGGTGGATTCGGCTTCAAGTCACGTCACAAGCAATCAGCTCCCGAGCCACTCAGAGTCAAGGGACAATCTAAGGACCCAAAGAAAATCGATGCCGAAGTTGCAGCTGATGAACCTAGCAGCCTGCCCAAGAAGTCTCGATCCAAGGTCCCTCGGAGTGGCGGAAAATCAGTTGCCAGCAAAATCAAACAGAGAACCCTCCGTCAGCAGGAAGAAGCCAGACAGAAGGACCTCCCCAAACCGAAGCATTCAAAGAAAGCCACCAGCGAGCAATCGGATTCTGATTCCGATGATGGCAGTGACAAGGATGAGGATGACGAAAATGGAAACGAAGATGAAGAACATGTAGATGAAGGGTTAGAAGAAGCAAGAAAGTAAGTGTCACATTTTTATTAGTCAAACGGTTTACGCCACAGCATGCTCATATTACCACTTGTTCTTGCTTATCTTTCCACAGAGCATTTTTCTCAACAAAAGATTTAGTCGAGCCGCATAACGACATGGATTCAGCGGATGACCAAAGTGATTTTCAAAGCGCCAGTGGAAGCAGTCACAGTCACGCCGAATCGATCGAAGAGCTCAATGAATCCGAAGCTGGCGATGGTATCGAGGGATCAGCCATTCCAGATGATGAGGACGACGAGGAAGATAATGATGATGAAGCTTCTGAGGGATCCGATATGGTTGGTGAAGGCTCAAATGATGAAGAAGATGAGGACGAGAATGCTCTTGATGCGGACATCATGAACCACAATAAGGGTGTCCCTGATCTCCGGAAACTTTACTCCCGGATACAAGAAAGCGTTCGAGTTCTCGGAAATTGGAGCGTGCTTGGGAAGAAGGCAAAGGGGAAAAGTCGAGCAGATGTTACAGAGCAAACGTTGAACGATGTTTGTGAATACTTTGGATATAATGCGTTCTTGTCGGATTTGCTATGGCAATTGTTTGACCCCGAAGAAGTAAGCAAATCAGTTCTTGAATCGAATTCAGCCTACCAGTCTACTGACTCGAGACACCGATCAGGCATTGGCATTTTTTGAAGCCAATGAGACAGCCAGACCGGTGACGATCCGGACTAACACGTGAGTGGCCTCTGGCATCATCATCTACCCCGTCGGCTAAGCACTCACGATCACTTCTACCAACTCAGACTACGAACCAATCGCCGTGACTTGGCACAATCATTAATCAATCGAGGTGTCAATCTGGAACCGATTGGGAAGTGGTCCAAAGTGGGTCTTCAAGTGTTCGAATCTAGCGTACCGATCGGTGCTACACCCGAATATCTTGCAGGACATTATATGCTTCAGGCGGCCTCATCTTTCTTACCGGTTATTGCGCTTGATCCTCAACCCGGCGAGAAATGTTTGGATATGAGTGCTGCTCCAGGAGGAAAGACGACGTTCATGTCGGCGATGATGAAGAACACGGGGAAGCTGTTTGCCAACGACAGTTCCAAAGCTCGTTGTAAGAGTCTGATGGCTAACGTCTCGAGAATGGGTTGTCACAATGTGATCATCAGTAACCATGATGCCCGAGACTTTCCGAAAGTAATGGGCGGGTTCAACCGAGTGCTTTTGGATGCCCCTTGCAGTGGAACGGGTGTCATCAGTAAAGACGCCAGTGTCAAGAACAATAAAGTGAGATTTGTTTTACCTTTCTGTAAAGATGGGTACGGGGAGACACTTTATTCAGTCTAATGATACGTTCGTTATTACTCCTTCCAGTCCGAAAAAGATCTTTTGTTACTGTCGCACTTGCAGAAGCAACTCATACTTTCTGCAATTGATTCTGTTTCACCCCACTCCACCAACGGCGGCTACCTGGTTTACTCGACTTGCTCAGTGACGGTTGAAGAAAATGAAAGCGTGGTTGACTATGCATTGAAGAAGCGGCCGAACGTGAAACTAGTTGAGACTGGGATCGGATTCGGCAAGGAAGGTTTTGTTCGGTTTCGAGGAAAGATCTTCAACCCTAGTCTGAAAATGACCAGACGATTCTACCCTCACGTTCACAATGTTGATGGATTCTTTGTGGCCAAGCTCAAAGTTAATCCCAAAGCCAAGACAGGTTTGTTTACCCGACATGATTCCTGTCTTTCAAGCTCAATTTACTCTGAGAAGGCTAACTTTTGTATTCTAAACATTGATTTCAAAGCACCAATCCAAGAAGAAGAAGAGGATGATGTTGAGGAGACTCTATCTCAAGACGATATTCCCGATAAGAAGCAGAAAGCTTCGAAAGCCAAAGACGAACCGGTCGCATTTGATGATTCCGAAGATGCTGAAATCATCGCCTCGGCCAAGATCTCTCAACTCAAGGCCAAGGGGATTCATGTTACTCGCCCGAACCCCGAGAAGAAACGATCTAAAAAGCATGAAGATGACCAACCAGATGCAACCGAGAAGAAGCAAGCAGCAAAGCAGCAATCCGATGGACCGACTCTTACGGAGAAGGTGAACTCCAAGAAACATCAGCGCGACGAGCAGGATGGGAAGGAAAAGAAGAAGAAGAAAACCAAGGTCAAAGCATCTTAATGAACGGATGTGTTGGAGATTCTGATTGCTTGTTTTCTTAAGACTCTTGCTTGAACAAACAAACGATGCCACCAGTTTTGAGGATTGTAAATGAATTGATTTTATTTCCGTTTTTCCGTAACATTAATGATGATGTGATGAATTCGATGATGATTTGAATCGTTAGAATTCTCCAGATATGGATCAGCGATGTATTCATCCAGCCGAGATCTATCTTCGGCCCCCTGCCTGCCTGCCTGAGTAGTTTAATCAAGCTCCATCGCAAACAGTCCAAATGCTTTTATGTTCACACTTTCTACTTATCATGTTAATCTTCTTCGGGTATAGTGGATTCTGTTATTTTCCCCGTTTCCTGCCCAACTTTCGTTGCCTATGTGTACTTCTTATTGTTGAGGGGATATTTATGCTCGCCATCATTTCGCATATCTGACGCTGCCCGGTTCGCATCTTGGTAGCGAATCAGATGGTTATGAAAAGCGAAGAGGCCATATGCATATTAATGGAGGAAAAGTGGTGGTGAAACAGGGTACAATTGGAACAAAACTTGATTTCGTGATTTTGGGCATGGTTTCAGATGAGTATAGTGTTGGAAGTGGCCCAGTAGGTCGGGGATTCCACCTGAAGATTTTTTCCTGTAACTTTACTCTTCTACATAATCAGTCGGGGAGTATCTTCCGTCTTAGATTGTAGTAGTGGTACTCCTCTTTAGCAAGCCTCTTTCTTGGTAATCTTCCTTCAGGATTGTGTCTCCCTCTGCTCATGTGTAGATAGACTAGATTCCATCCAATCCAACCCTCCTCCTAACTCTCTCTCTTCCGACTTGTCCCTGCTGTTCTTTCTCCCTTTTTATTTATTTAATATTTGTTAAATCGTTATTTTATTCATTTGTTTTTGTTTGGTTGTTTGGTTTTTCTTTATCTCCCTTTCTCTCTTGAATTGTTTACAACATCTTCCTATTCTATATAGAACTGTCAGCTGCCCCCCTCCACCCACCTCCCACACCACCTCTCACCCAAATCCTCATCGGCTACATAGTTCTTTGAGCCCTGTTTCCTTTGACCCTCTTCCTCCAATATATCTCAGCAGGCGAAGTCGGTATTCAGAAGATGCCTCTCTGTCCCAGCTGTCAAAAGGTTAAGCTGATCAGATGCAAGATCCTCAGAACGGAGGACCCAGATTATGGGAGGGAATATGTGGCTTGCTCTGCCTGCTCGTCGAGGTGTATGTCCCCCTGATCTCCTCTCTCAGTCTGACACTCCTACTACTCTAATAGTCCACTGATACATCCAGATATCTCTCTATCTAGGGTTCCTCGATGACCCCAATAGGCCACCAGGACTCGTTAGTGATAAACCGAAGCAATCGATATGGAAGAAACTCGGGACATGGGGTGCTCCACATAATGTGCCTGACTCCTCTGGGGTCCTTCGTGCGGCTACCTACGTCTTGCCTCCCGTTCATGAGTATCCTTCGGTCAGTAAACTGCAATCCGTATCTCTGCTACTTTGATCACTTCCATCCCAAAGACTTGCAGGCTTCGACTTTCTTTCCTTCTTTGTTTTTTTTTTCTGACTATATACAAATTCATCTTACAGCTCCTCGTGCCGGTTTCCAATTCCAATCGTCGATCTCTTCTGATCCCACCTGCCGCTCCCGATCCCTCGCCCGTCTCACCGGCCGCTGGTCCCTCTGAACTCGACCTGCCGCCACCGCCACCGCCACGCGAGCCTGAACTTGACCCACTCCCCCCAGCTGACACAGTCGACATACCCGAGCGGACCTTCGACGATCCGGTTGAACCAGCCGATCAAACCGAACTTCCTGTCGAAGATGCCCCACAATCCCAGGAAGGCGATGAGCCCCAACAAGCTGAAGAGCCCACCCCTGCTCCTGAAGAACCCCTCGAGCAACTCAGTCCAGCAGCAACAGCTACTGAGGAACCCAAACCGATTTCTGCCCCAGGAACTCCACATCAGACCGAAGAACAGAAAACATCGCCAGCCTCCAATTTGAATAGCGAAGAGCAAGCTAGATTCGAGATGCTCTACCGAATTGCTTCCTCCCCTGGCCCACACTCACAAATCTCTGATCACCACCTAGAAGAAGATCTCAAGCTCCCATCCCGTCCACAATCCACCAGAGGGAGCGAACATCAGCCCTCTCTGCCCCCTATTACCCCTTCTGAGCCTATCTCGCCCGAAGAGCAACAACTACGTGAAACGCTCCTCAGGGTCGTTTCAACCCCCTGTCCACCACCTCCCAAGGTTTACACAACTCTACTCTCCCCCAATGTGAATCGAGAAGAAGCCATTTGTTCTTACTCACCACAGGATGAGCGTGAAGTTGCAGCCTATATCCAACACAGTGCTACAAGGCTCGATCAGGCTATCCAAAATTCCCCGTTCACCCCCAAGGAGACCCCGAGATCTCAACGCACCGAGAGATGGATCGAATCGCCCAGGTTCAGCGAGCCCAAGTCGCCTGCCTCCAAGCACTCGGCCGTTCGCTCTTCACGCCACTCCACCAGCCAGCCCCGCTCACCACGTCAACCACTCGCCCAATCTTCCCACGGAACTCCTCGCTCGACGAAGCTCTCGGAGCATGCCGGAGCACGCTCGGTCAGCCATACGCCTCGTCGGAGCCATTACGACGAAGAGGAAGTCCCCCTGCCTGGCGGATTCCCGACTCCCAAGCCCATGCCGCTGACCAGTGACGACGTCTCGAGGCTTCGAAGCCAACCCGTGACGCCCTATAGTACCAGCCTCAAATCGTCCGCACCATCCGGTCCCCTCCCGATCGCACCGTCACATTACACTGGCTCAGTCGCCAGTGGTCGCACTCCTAAGCGTGTCAGTATCGCCAGCTGTGACAACTCGCCGTTGTTTAGTTGAACACATCAACAACACCCACTGCCGTTCTCATACTTCCTTTGATGAGGTGACTCATTGTTAAAAGTCGCCGATAGAGCTACATCTTGAACAAAGGATACTTCGATCGGCTCCACTTCAAGCCACCTATATAATTAGATACCATCCAATTCCCGATCTTACTTCTTCTTCTTCTTCTCCATTGCTATTGTTATCATTACATATGTTGTTGTTACAACACACCCACACACCAAGTCTTATCTTTTCTTGATTTAAATCACATGTCAACTTTATTTCTCGTTTATTTTTATCATCACTAGAAGTTTTTGTAGATTCCACAAACGACATTCGCAACCAGAAGATGGAAACCACTGGATCTTGGTCATCGTTAACAAGGAGAAGAAAGAAAAAAACAAGTTGAACCCTTGTTCAATCAGTCTATTGTAGTATTGAATCTAATTAAACCCAATTTAACGATTTCCTTAATCCTTACAACCCTGTCTAAATTAAATTTTATTCTTGAACCCACGACCTTGTTATAAGCTAGTATGATAATATCTTCCTGTCGACTTTCTTGTTGAGATTTCTGATACATGATGGTCAGGCAATACATGTATGCGCACCAATTATCAGAATACATACGTTTCGGAATCCAATCTTTGAGAAAGGGCTAGTTTCGAGCAAAAAAGAAAATCAGTGAGGAGTGTGTACGGACTGAAATATTCACAAAGCTCTTCTCGTTTTTAAGTTTGATGATGCGTTTGCCCGGTCAACGAGGCGATCGCGAGAGTTACAACCTCGCCGGCTGGGAGGGATCACTCCCGGTCATCTCGCCGACTGGCAGGGTACATACCTTCCTGGTGACTGCTTCTTCTTGAAGTTGCGCGATGGGAACAGCGTCCTTCTTGACTCTTGCGCGATGAGCACAGCTCTTCAGGCTGCCCCCATCATGTTTTTAATCTTATTCATTTGTATCACCCTTCACAGGATACAGGGTTCCTCTGTTTTTCCAGAGTCTTGGACCCTCAGAATTTCTGTAAACTAGTTTCGGAAATTCAAGTTATTGCGGATTATTTGCCGAACTCGTGCACTATAGGAGTGGATCGCACCGTAGCGTCGACGACTTTCACAGCACGCGAAGCGCTCATGTCTGCGTGGCGTGAACATGGTCATCTCCCTCAAAAAAAATGAAAGCCAAAGATCGGAAGAATGAGATGTTTCCATGAAAAAATCATTCTATCAAAACTGAGCAAAGAAATCAAAAAACTGTGGCACCAAAATGAGAGAAAGAACATTGCCAAAATTGGCTTCCAACATTTCGAGCATCCCCTGGAGGGATAACCTACAGAAGACGCTCCGGGCACTGTCCTGACACTGATGGAGGCACGTAAAAAAGGTCTTTCCCAGCATGCTCTTGTCAACAAATTCATTTCTAACTGCGGCTCTAGTGTCAAAAGGGTGTGGCTGTATTTCGGCCAAATGTGATGAGTTTCTCTCTTCTTTGAACTCGACAGTCGTTTGTCTCATCCAGATTATATTGGCCAAACTATCTGGATATTTCTTGATTGGAAAGAGGTAAGAGCATATCAATAAATTCAATTATCACTTCACATTGAGTACATTTTTCCAAGTCAACAACTTGAAATGATGTTGGAAGTTGGCAGTGGAAGCTCAACAGGATCCCGGGTAGCGCGTCCTTCGGGTTTATGCAAATAAGTAGATAGGTCAAGTTTAGCTACCTGGTGCAGGTGCTGAACTACCCTACCAGTCGAGATCAACAACCCTTGCGGTCATGATCACCGGTAGGGTGGAAGCATGCTTGACAGCTTGGTGGGTACTCGAAGAAATCCGACCAATCATGAGCTTTGGGATAACAAAATAAATAGAGCAGCATCGAGATACAAGCACCAAAAATATTTCAGACCTCTAGATTCTATAGGCAGCAACTGCAAGTTTCCTCATATCTTCTTGAACCAAATCTTCTCAATAAATCCCCTGGATCAATCTTCGCGTATCTTAAGCCAGATCATTTCCGGCGGACTCTCCCATTCCAGAGTTCACCTATCATTGGATCTTATTCCAGTCGTACACATTAGATTTTACTAGGGGTCCCTCTAGCCGCCTTTTACATCTCATACCTTCTTTCATCGCTCTGATAAATACTTGAGCAAAATGGCTATTGAGATATCCGACATCAACTCTAAAAACGGCCAAAGTACAGTTTCTACGTTCCTCCCGGGCTTTTTAACGCTATCCCTTTCCATTCTACCTGGAAACCTGATGCCTCGATTTTTTCCATCTCGTAGATCAAAGTATCTTTAGAACAACCAATAAACCCCTTCGTGAAGGAAAGCTTCCAGTGACCTTGCTCAGTGGCTTTTTAGGTAAGGAATGCAGCTGCTTCTTCAAGTGATACGTTTCCTGACTCTTGTTTTTATGTAGGCTCTGGAAAGACCACGTTATTAGAGCACATTCTCACCTCTAACCATGGGCTTGGAAGAATCGCCACGATAATAAATGATATTGGAAGCGTTAATATCGATGCTGCTCTTCTTCGTGAACATAAAGTTAGTAACCTAGAAGAAAGGGTTGTGGAGATGCAAAACGGATGCATCTGCTGTACTCTTAGAGGAGATTTGTTGGAAGAAGTGGCTGCACTCTCGGAAGATAAAAGCATTCATTGGCTGGTGATAGAGTCAACAGGAATCTCTGAGCCGATGCAAGTAGCCGAGACCGTAAGCGTAATGATTTCATTTCATTTTTTATCTTGCGACAATCTAAAATAGTCGCGTCTTTCTGATCACTTTTGCTCTTGAGATGTTAGTTCTCGCCTGAATTCTCTGAAATGATGCTCATGGCGGCTGATGACTTGAAACAAGAAATGGAAAAGGATGAAGCTTCAGCTAAACAAAATGCCAAAGTCCAAGCTATATTGGCGAAGGGCGGGCTTCCGGAAGTCGCGTTCCTCGATGCTGCAGTTACAGTTGTTGATGCTGTCAACGTCTTTAACGATTTCGAAACCGCTGATTTCTTGGTGGTAAGTGATAGCTGTAGAATTTATTTCGAATTGAAATCTGACGTTTCTCCTTTTTAAGGATCGAAATGATGCCAAGAACGTTCCAGAGGAAGACGATCGCAACATTTCAGACTTACTGGTTGACCAAGTGAGTCGCGTTGTCTCTAAGAACATGCCCTTTACTTGTTGCTCATGACCCCACTATCTTGGTTGATACCTGCTTCGATGATTTATCAAGCTGGAGTTTGCTCAAGTTGTAATTCTGAACAAGATTGATTTGGTTACGAGCGACGAGCTGAACAAGACAAAGGCCCTAATCCAGCAATTAAACCCTACCGCCAAACTTCTGACTTCAAATTACTCGCGGATTAATCTCAGGGAGATATTAGATACAAAGATGTTTGACTATACTAAAGCAGCGTTAAGTATGGGATGGCTGAGAAGTCTGAACGAGGTTGTCAAGCCTGGAAACTGAAGAGTACGGTGTTGGAACTTTTGTCTATCGCGCCAGAAGGCCTTTCTCGCCGAAGCGTCTTTAGAAAACGATCCGTAATGTAAGCATACTAGCCTCGATTGTCGATGCATGTTTATAATGACAAAGTGAATTCTTCTCTGAATAGGTATTCGTGGTGATTCAGGAAGAATTCATTGATGACGGGGATGATGAAGCGGGTAAAGCTGCGCAAGATGAAGAATCTGCGTCCAACGACTCCGAGGGAAGTGTCCAAGGAAACACCGCGATGGATGAGGATGATGATGACAAGGATGGAGACGGTGAAGAGAAGCAGGTGGGTCCTCTTGTGTTCCGAAAACAGCTACATGAATTTCAATATCAGTTATCTTTGTGATCAACCTACCCTTCAATGACCCTGTGCAGCCGCAACTCAACCCCAAAAAGCGACTCGAGTCGAAGAAGGCTTCCAAAACATTCGCTCCGCTGTTGCGCTCTAAAGGGTTTTTCTGGCTTGCTACGCGTCCCACGATGGTAAGTTGAACCTCGCAAGAACCACGCGCGATCCATGGACTACATAAAACTTATGATTCCAATGTACTAGTTTGGCGAGTGGTCTCAAGCTGGCGTCATGCTCACCATCACTGGTGGAGGTAAATGGAGATGCGAAATTCCGCGAGAAGAATGGTCAGATGACCCCGAGGTGATCAAAGCAATTCTAGCCGACTTCGAAGAGCCCTGGGGCGATCGTCGACAGGAGATAGTGATGATCGGTACCGAAATGCGGTCGGGTGGTGAGAAGCGTCTTCAGGAAGCACTCGACGCTTGTTTGCTCGACGATCAGGAATGGGCACAGTGGAAAAAGATCATGAATTCTGTTAAGAAGGGCCTCCGGACGATGGAACAAAAGGCCGAGGCACTGGAGGAATATGTGAGTAGTCTCAAAAAAAGCTAAAATCCCGATGCCCTGCCAACAGATCTATTTCCACTGCTAGTTCGAGGACGGCTTCGAAGACTGGCAGGACCCAGATGACAACGAAGGCCATGAAGGGCATAATCACTAAGATAGGCCTCCGATGAAGTATCACGGCACTCTGCAACCCTTATCCTCGCCTGTTTCTCCCTAGCATAAAACTTTGAACGCTCACGTGGAGCTATGTCGTCCTGGTGGTAGTTTCATCTGTCTTTGCTTGTTCAGATTCCATGACTTCCTCGCTCTTGGTTGGCGAGGCACAATAAAATAAAAGATTTCACCTTGGTATATTACATTTTTCGTGACCAATGAAAGTATTTGATAACATAGTCGGACACATTTTGCCTGTGCCCTGGTAAGATTTGTTCACTTTCAAGTCATCTTGAATCAGGCGAAGACCGATGTGCCTCACTCAAATAGATGCTAGTTTAGTCAAGCAGTCCCTCAAACCAGGTATCAGATCTCTGTTCGGACTGAGAATACAAATCCGAAAGGTGAATGTTTTCTATTGCATTCATCAATACTATTCCTACTTCTATACATCCTGATCCTAAGAAGTTGCGCCCGTTGGTGAAATTGCGCAGTAAACGGATATCCACAGGTTGTTGAGGGGAAACAATGACACATGCTGCACCTCTCAATGAACTGAAACCCTCCCCTTATGTGAAAAGCTTTTGATTTGGACAGAATTTGGCAAAGGACGTTGCCTACCATAGATATATTTAGGCAGCTTATATAGTGTTTGCATTCATATGTGATGTTTGTCTTCAACATGCTAATAATTAAACAACTGTATTTTTCAGAAAGCATCAAAACTCCACATAGACGTACAAACAGCTCTAATAGGTCGGGGTATATTTCAATATATTTTTCTTTTCACAAAATATGATGAGTACAGCTCACTGAATGTAATAATTTTCGAGAAATACGGTGTTGAAAACTTTTTTCCTGACCTTGGATTGGTTGATTATCTAGCATAGGTTGACCCTGCCAGAAGTATCTCAACTGTTGAAGAAGAATGGTGGTGCTTGTTTTGACAGATGACAACTAAATGAAGATGTCGATAAAGAACCAATTGGAATAGACTTGATTGGGATATAAGATTGTGTTGGTGATCTTCGTTGGACTTTTATTCTCTTCCTTTGTAAGCCGGTGATCACCAGCATCTACCAAAGCTTTCAAATTGTTTTGTAGGTTGAGATTGGTGCAAAGACTCGAGGGCTCTTGAAATTCCAAATAGATCGCTTCTGTAAAGATGTGGGGCAAACAATGTGAGCTTTGTAGAAAGGGAATCAAGAAATTGATTGTTAGAAAGATAACATGCCTTGCTTCTTGTATCCACCTGCTTCGTGCTCTGCCGGAGTCCGTCGATGAAGTTCTTTCCGAGAACCGATTCCATCGAAATAATTAGCACTGTAACATTGCACTGCCGTCTGATTGGAATAGAAAACCAGGATCAGGTCGTCTTTAGGGCTTCGAAGGATTGCCTTTGGGTCTTTAGTGTTGTCGACTGTATCTCCAGTTGTGTTCTTGAATATAAAACACTGATCTGTGGAGGGTAAAAAAGCGCATCAAATTAATTTCCCTTCGTAACCATCTGAACGCCTCAGCTGAAAAAAGGACCTACCGAACCCTGATGGGGGCATGATCTCACCAATTGGCCTGATGACCTCTGGAGTTGAGAAATCGATCCCCAATGCTTTGTTTGGCTGGATTTCTCCAGTTGGCAATTGTGATTGATGGACCGCTAGATGGTGATCACTCTGTATTGTGACATGATCAAGAGGAGAAAAAAAAATCAACTCGTGATACATACCGCATCGGTTTTGAAGGAAGGATATACTGACGTTGATCCACAATTTGTGCTGTTGGATTCCATTCGAGTCACTCGGCTCTCCTCTGAAGTCATTGAGGATATATCCCGTGTGCCAAGTTAGATTGATCGGTGTTCCAGAGTCCCTTCGGGCGACCTCCTCTGGGTCCGATAACTTTGCTCTCAGGCTAAAACTTGCTCTCCCTATCCTGCTCTTAGGACCGGTCTCACTCGGAATAGTTAGATCGGTATCTTTTGGCACTGGGAAGAGTTCTAAGGTAACAGTAGCCAGGATATCGATAGCCTCTGGGAAGCCTTGATCGCCAGAAGGAGAGTGCAGATGAAAATGGGCAGATGATGATGATAATGATGGCGGTGATACTGATTCACTGTTAGCAGGCTCAGTGTTGGTCGATCGAAACTCTTGAACGATTTTTGAATCGGCCCCAACTGGCTCAAACTCCCTCAAGTCATAGCCATTTTGTCCAGAATGCAAACAGTTCCCTCGTCCATCTTGAAAAGGTTCTACATAAATTACAGCCGAGTCCAGTTAGACATCCAGTCATTCCAAAGTTGTAGAGCCTGATTGATGATTACTGGTTGCTTACCATTCTCGTCTAAGTCTATTTCTATCCTCTTCCCCCCCTCCTCCCTCGAGGAATCGATTATATAACTCTTACCGGCTGGCAAGCGATTGGTATATCTTCCGACGACTTGATTCATAAACTTTCTTCCTTCGATTTTGAAGCTTGAACTTGATTCAGGTCCACAGAGCACATCCCGGGTAGGAAATCGACCAGATCCGATCGTTAGCTTGTGCATCGTCAACCCCGTCCTGGTCAAGTCCAGCGTTAACTTGCGATCAGTCGCATCATCCTGGACACTCAGTTGGTACACTCCATCGCTCGGTGTTGACATTTCTTGCAATCCTATCAGATCAATCTCCGTTCGTCGAGTCCTGGAAAACCGACTTTCAAACTATGCGCAACCCACCCAGACTGGCTCGAGTTACTCGCTTGAACAGAAGAAGGAGAAAACAACAAGGTGGTAAAAGCTCCTGTCAGTCTCCAGACAGTCTTGACTCAGGGTTAGACACGACACCGCTTGTGACAAAAACTGTATGCACACGCATCTCTATGTTTTATGCTTTCTGACTCTTCCAACCACCGCACCTGTCTGCTACCACCGAGTCTCTCCGCTGAGATTTCGTCACACCGAGCGTTGTATGCGCTGTTTGTGAAGCAGTCCGATTGGTGTCGATAGGCTGTACAACATGTGATATGTATCAATAACACTTTAAAAAAAAAAAAAAAAAAAAAAAAAAAAAAAAAAAACCTTGTGGGTGTTGGCCACCGGGGGCCTCTATTCCCGGGCCCGGGCACTACACACGGTCCCGGCCCGAAACCTGTGTCAAGACCATGCCGGCCACGCAAGGCCAGTCCTTGCTTTCTGCAAAAATACCCAGGTTTTCAAGCCAGCAAAGTCGCGCTGCCTTGGTGTTTACAAAAATCCATTACTCTTTCTCCTGAAGACAAAAACATCATCCAATTGGCCAAGCCGGGCTACTCTATTTGTTCTGGAAATGTGGTGGTCAAGGAACTGCCTCTTAAATTCCCCGGCTGGCATTGATTGGGAAAAATGCCTGTTTCCTCTCACCTAAAGGAATGTTAAACTTGGATAAACAGAAGTGGCCATGTGTTGTAAAGGGAAGACGGGGAATATGGGAGAGAAACATCTGAAGTTTATTTTTAAATGTAGTTCTGATGGTGCTGATCAATGTCATTTCTTCTATTTTTCATAACTTGATGATGCAGCTGACAGTTCCACACAGGTACAGAGCATAAAAAAATAATCACTCAACAGAAAAAAAAATTGACCAGGTTAAGCCACACATTTATTTCTTCCCAATGAGCCATCAATAGTTTGATGTGTGTTATCTTTCAATTTCAGCAATAACTGGCCAGCTCTCTTCAAATACTTTACATTCAGAGTTAACAACAGGTTACAAATGCTTCCTCCTTGTGCATATGACATGCCTTTGAATATATGTTCACTCTCTTTTGATACATCCATTATTTTGAAGTAATTTACTTTCATTTTTTTTTCAATAAAGGTGTGGTGGAAGAAATGTTGATGAAAATTATTCAACCCTTACATCTAATTTGGGAAGGAAATTTTAAAGATTATATCACGGAAGAGGGCAAGGATCAAATTTATCACCTGATGAAAGATATTCAAAATAAAATTGATGCAATACTCCCAACAGAATCTGAAATACCCAATCATTCAAGGTGTTTGGTTTCTTTTATGAAACTTTTCCTAGAAATTTGTTACAAAATCATAGATATGACAACAAGGCATATGATCTTCTCAAAAGAATTGAAGGTGCAATATGGCTCCTATTGGAGGGAACGAATTATCTATTAACTGATTTTGACAATGCAAGCAGGTGGGAATAAAATTCAATTAATAACAAAATACATCCAATGATTTTCATTCTGAATGAAATTTTTTGATTTACTTGTTCATGCAGAAACTTAAAAATCTATCAGTCAGGACTCAGGAGTGTATTAAAGAAATCATGAATGGAGAAACAGGGACCCAGATCATATTTACTTACATCTTTGGAATATTTCCTGGAACAGTTCACAAAATTAGATTTATATCTGAACACAGAATCTCAGAAAAGTGTCAAAGAAACATATTTCACAAAGAAACATCATCCTTTCTTGAGTTGTATATTGAAGTTCATCTCTTTTGATAATAATGATTGATAATTGTCTTGAAGTTATTTTGATCTGGTTCTTACACTCTAGTCTACTTGTTTGTTCTTGATGGTTTTTAAGATTTGAAGTCAGATTTTATTACAGATGATCAAGGGAACAAGAAAATCAAGGGTGAAAGGGGTTGGAATAAACTCTCATACATGTATATTGCACTTCAAACCAAATCATTCTTGGATAAAAAGAAATACAAAAGTCAATAAATTAGTCTATCCCTCCTGGCAGACAGGTTCTTTGATCTTACATAATATATGAATTTCCAAGAGATCAATAAGTGCCCATTTGAAAGAGGAATAATTTTACTCTTTCAATATTTGTGTTAAAACCTATTTGATGAGAAGGAAAATGAATCAGAATCCGGATCAAGGGTTAAGACTTTACACAACATGCTGGTATGTCTCAATGTAATTTTTGAAGTAAATAAACTGTTTGATTGTGAAAAGATTGTGGAATATCCTGAAATGCAAGCTCTTCAATCTGCAATGATTTGGTATTCAAAATCACTCTCAAGTCAGTTTATGCCAATTATGAGTAAACATTGCAATTTATACCTTTGAATTGGAACAAATCACCAAAATTATTCAAGGAGTAGATCACCATCAATTTCAATTTCAAGGTATCAAACACCACCTACCTCAAGACCAAGGGGCCCAAAGATATTGAGAAGTTTGTTGGAGTGAATAAGTTCCTGCCAGTGCCACTAAGAAGCCCAGGAAACTCCCCAAGGTCATGAAGTAGTCCAAGCGCTTCACCAAGGCCAGACTCACAAGGAAGTATGTTAAATTTAATCAATTCAAAATATTTAGAAGCCTCAGAAGAAAGATTCTTGGGTGTGAAGAAAAGGAATAAAGAGTGGGAAGATGGAAACACAAGGAAAATTCAGATGATGAAATTCACAACTGATCAGGGAGCGGGGAATCTGGTAGAAAGAAAAAAAACAAAGGGTCAAAGAGCCTCTAAAGAGGGCTGAAAGATTTACTAGGTTTCATGGCAGAAAAGCACCAACACCACAAGGGGCCAAATGCAATAGAGACCTTCGGAAACTATTAAAAAGTGGAGGGACAAGTTGTGGGACAGAAGAAAAAAGAATATTCAAGTGGAGAAAGAGAAACAAGTGACAGGCAAGAAGAGAAGAGAGAAAATAAATACAATGAAATTTCAACAAAAGCTGAAAATCTTGAAACAGAAGAAATTGTGATCAAAAGAGACACAAATTTTGAAAATGAGAAAAAGTTAATAGAATAAGATTATTTAGGAGAAGGGAAAGATATGGAAGGTGAAGAAAAAAACAAAGAATTGTTAAATATTGTTTATTTGTCAGATATTGAGCCATGCAACACAGAAATGATGATTTGTTCCATTTTGGAGTTAGTCATAATAATCAATGGTTTGCTCAAAAAACTAATACCACAAAAATCACCACTCCTCCTTCAATTGATGAAATTATTGATTGACTAGAGTCTAGATGAAGAATCTCAAGAGATTTTGGATGTGGTTGGATCTGTTACAAACTACCTAAGCCATGATAATAAAGGCAAATTTGGTTAGATTGACATGGAGGATCCCATGTAAAATATTGAGGGGATCATTGGAGGAGGTAGATATTATGCTTGATTTAAACAAAGGTCAGCTCACTTTTAAAGCCCTCTTGATCAAAATTTCAAATCATGTCTTCTTGAGTATTCCTTCTTCTTCTTTTTGCTTCATTGCTATTTTTGGGGGCCACATCATTCAATTCAATTATATGCACATAATCTTCAATTTAGTCCTTCTTGGTATTTGGTATTTGGTTTTTGTGTTCTATCTTTTGATTTTTGTGTACTCTCTTGACTTTTGCTTGCTTTTTGCTGTGGGTCCTTAATTTATTTGTTTGCTATATTTCTGTTTTTCTTTTGGTTCTTTCTCCTTTGGTGGTTTATTCTGTTTCTATTGTTTTGGGATCTTTGTTTTGAACCTTGGTCTTGAAATCTTTTTGGGTTGAATATTATTGGATTTTGAAGACTGTTCAAATTTATATCTTTGGGCCCAAGTGATTCAGGCACATTTCCAATCATCTCACGAGTCACAACTGAGATATCTTATATTCCATTTCTTTGAGATGAAAACTGCCCTTTTTCATGAAATCCAGAAAATGCTGCAAGGAAAAGCCTGCAAGTTGGTTTTTAATTTGTATGTTAATTTTATTTGGGTAGGTAACGTGTATCTGCTCGGAACTACTCTTCCAAAATCTGGCGTTGTGAAATTCAATGCAACTAAGGATTCAAGACAAGAGAGTAAAAAGGATTGAGCGGCTTAAGCTACCATGTTGGTACTCTTGTCATTTTAATTTATATGTAGGTGGGGATTTCCCTTCACAAGGCCACAAAACCTTCCCATCTAGTCATTTCCACAAACATTTCCATCGTGGTTGGCTTTTGGGAGTATGATTTGTGTGATGTGGCCCTTGCAAGAGGGTTCGAGTCGCCAATCACCGGGGGACCGGCGACTCCCCGGGTGATCCGACTCTCCAATGAGATTCGGAAATCAAAAAACCAAAAAGTCACAATACATTCATTCGAACGACCATCACGACTGAAAGGAGATGCACTCGACCTTCGAAGCCATCTGCAATCGAAACACTCAAACGAATATCCACGAGGATGCACAGGAAGGTGGTGATAACCAGGACCAATGTGCAATTTGCTTGGATCTAATCATCAATCAGGTAATGTTCACATCAATTGTCAAAGAAAATTCCTAGAAAAATCAAACCACTATGGAGTCGAAACTTAGTGCTGATTTCACTCCTTTGGTCATTCTTCTGCTTGCCGCGTGAATCCGTCGACTACTTGTTGGTTTTTTGAACGATGGAATTTACCGGATGAACAAAAAAAATACATAGGCGGTCATCGTTCCTTGTCAACATTCGGAATACTGCTTCCGATGTATGCGGATATGGACGACCACTTCAAATCGCTGTCCGATCTGTGTCCAACCAATCGACCATCTGGTCCACCGGATCGACCCCCGCACCAAAGACTTCCAAATATTCCATCCTCTCCCCATCATGCCCAACCTGAACAATGGTGATGATAACAATCGTCAGAGTCAGGCGGCCTCTCCCACTCTTCCTGCTGCTCAGCACCCTCCAAATTCAGAATCAGGACCATCATCAAGTCAATCAGATCATTTCATCGGCCTAGATCGTCGTCAATTTATCTACCGCCATTCACTCTATGCCAAGCATATCCCCTCTAATCGATACACCCAGTTCTATCCTGTCTCATCCAAACATTTTCTCAAAGACCGATCCAAAAACCCATCCGAGCCCACCAGACGAGACTGTCCATCTGCCAAGCTCATCGCCCGGACCATCCGGTTCCTCCAACGCGAACTCAGAGCGATCCAGCCCGAAGTCTTGGCCCATCCGATTGAGCACTCCATCCGAGTCATCATCATCATCCTTCATCGGGCAGACTCCAACAGTTCTGAAGCGGTTCATCTGTTCAGTCAGCTGATCCGCGACCCTCAACTGGCTCAACATTTCTCCCAGTAAATCGATCCTATTGCAATTATTATATCACTGATCATGTTCTGAACAAGCGATCGAAATTATCACCACTAATACAAATGTGAATCTACTTGACAGTGAATTGACTTGTTTCTTGAGATCGCCTTACGACGATTTACTTCAATGGGATCAAGTTCTTCAGTATCCAACAGCGCCAAACGTTTACTGAAATTTCAATTGGATATCAAACCCGACTATCCTCATCCCTATCTGGTCTTGATCCAACTCTCATCACCTGTCTACTCATCTTGATTATTTTTAGGACATTGACTTAATTCGAGCATCCAGTGCTTTTTTAAAAAAAATCACAGGACTGCGTAGCAATCCGGTGTTGATACGTTAGTCCAAACCAATTGTAATCGATTTGATGATTCTAAGGACAATGCAGGGATCAAATCGAGCCGGCGAGATTGTATCGGTCGATCTTATCTTGGGTCGAGGTCGTCTAATCTAAGAAGACCTTGACAAACACCGGGCCGGAGCCGATTCAGTAAACAACCGACTGGTTCTCTAGGACATATGGCATTTACAGGCCAGATTGTTAGCAGTTTTTTATCCTCCACAACACAAGATAAACGTTCACCCCCATAAATGTAAATCACTACTGCTAACTGATCATCATTTGTAGACATTCCTTTCAGGAGCTCTCAAACTCAACTGGAGTAATGCGTCAAGACCCAGAAAATCAAGTTTCAATCCACCTTAACCCAAACCCTTTCCGGTTCAAGTGACTCGCTTTGACTAACCTCAAAAGGCTTATGACACGAACTAAATCCAACTCCATATCTGTCGAATATTGCTTATGGCAATGGAAAAGACTGTGTTGAGATACGTTTCTGTAATTAGTTTCCGGCCTAGAGCTAACTTAGTCCTCTTTATTGACCAAGTTTAGTGGCTAATGTTCTTGTCATGCCGGGCAATATATGTGGCAAGCAGAATTAAAAGAAAATGATAAAACTCAAGAGACAAAAATACAATGTTATCATGTGTTCACTGACTTTGGCGGCCGGGACGCTTGTTGCGCCAAGCCATCCGTTTGTAGAGGTGTAGAATCAAATCGACAAAACTGTAGCACTGTGTAATCACTTTGCACAATGACTATGGCCACCGGGGTTTGGCCCTAGGGATTTACACTCAAAGAGGTAGTACCTTGTCCAACTCTAATCCTGCCTACGACTCACTTTTACTGCAATTCTTCCAGCCATCATGATTTACAGATAGTTATAAGTTGTCAAGGGAAAAAAGAATTATCGACCGCGGGTGAAGATGCAATCAGCTACACCTACCGTTCAGCAGATGACCCTCCTGCCTCTTCATCTTCAAAGGTCACCCACAATAGGTTGACGGGTTGGCCGTGATCTTGGCAGCTGGATGTACTCTCCCAAGCGTAAACATTACACCTTCTACAGTGGTACTCCTTGATTTCAAGCAGGGTTTGGCATTTGTCAGGGGCAGCCTGCCGCATTATCCAGCAATACTGCGTCTTCGGAGCCTCCAGCGGTTTTAGAGTCCTCGAGTTTTGTCGGCCCGTCTGGCCTGCTTGCCGGAATATTACTTCGCACCTGTCACAGCATATTCCTGCGGATGGGGCGCGGGCAGGCAGGGCAGCAGCCGCCGGGCGGAGCATGAGGGCACAGACAAGAGCCGGCCAGATGACCTTAGTCATACTAACCATTTTGGGGTGGACTAGGCGTGGGCAAGGGGATTCGAACTTTAGGATTTGAAAGTCGAAACACAGAGGGCTCTTGGAGTGGAGTCTCCGGAGAATCACCACTATGCCAGCAACACTGTGACCACCTGATTGGCTTACCATATTTAACTCACTCCTTTTGCAGGGGCTCCTATAGTATGCAAACACCAGATGATGAAATTGATTGCCCTGCCCAAGACTTTTCCAACTCTGATAGGGTAATTTAGTACTTTTTTCATAAATCCAATTCACATACGTTTCACAGCTTCCCCTCCCATATTTTTGAGTTCCACCCACTAGATGTATCTGAACACCTTGAAGTTGATATTAATATTATCCACAAGGCATTCTGTTTTGATTTTCTTATCATCTTGAAATGGCTTCCTTATCATCATAGATCCACCAAATGTCATCTTGTATCATCAGCATTTCCTCTACCCTGATATTCTTGTGAACCTTAAGCTCCAGAACCAGGTTAGTTCTAAAAAATGTATCCCAAATACCTATCAAATGATTGACTGACCTCTCAACCATGTTTTGGTCCTTTTTTTCAACCTGTTGTTTGTGGAACTTATGGGCAAAGCAAAATTTCTCTTGTATTTCTTATTTAACAATATTGCAACTTCATTTTTATGATACTCTTCATTTACAGTTCTGGCTCTATTTATAAGAATTGATCTAAATTTTTTGAAAATAAACAGAGAAAGAATGCTAAAAAGTATAGAATTATCTTAATGTGTATAACATACTACAAATGTTGGTCATCTAATAATTTCTTTCCAAAATCAACTTTATTTTTTGTTTAATTTCTTTTAGATTTTTAAGACTCTTAAGACAAATTCTAAAGAAGTTATTTGTTCTATCATTTTGCTATCTTCTACTGTAGTATGTTTTCTGGCAGAACATCAATTGCTCTGGATTGTATAGAGTGAAATAATTACAGGTAGCCTTATGATTTGTCTCACAATTTTGAATAATTCAACTGTTTTTCATTTATTCTTGCCTTGTGTTGCACACAAACCAGTTCTGTCTTCCTTTGAATTCTTTTTCCCTTTCTCCTTCCAAGTTTTGTGCACTTTCTCTTTTTGAGTTTCACACAATTTTTCTCCCTGGTTTTTCTAGCCTTTTCCTTCTCAACATATAGTGAACTGTGTCATTTTATTTCTCTTGGGTTTTATCCTGTCTCCCTCTCATTGGTTTCACAGTGTTCTTAGGAGTTCAGAGTTTTAGCCCTTGTGCGATTTACTGGGGCTAGCGCTGAAACCAGTATCCCAATAAGTTTTACACCGGATCTGCGCCCAGCTTTACAATAACCTATTCACTCAGATTGATCCACTCACCAAAGGCTTGCCAGCCTGGTCTTCCTGAATCCTACCACACCAACTATAACCATGTTCGAAGTCGGATGTAGACAGATCAGATAGAAATGAAACCGATGTTGGCAACACTGATTGCTTTAGTTTGGGTATTAAGAAAGATCAATACTAAATATAGAATACCATGACAATGACGCGGTCTGGGCGTATCTTTGAACTTGAATAAAATTTCACGTTTGCAAGGCACATACAAACCAAAGAAAGGAAGAAATATCTACAACCTTGATTCAAATGGAGAAGTGAAACTTTTCACAATAATGAGATACAAGCGGTAGACCTCTGAGGCCATCAATCTATATCATGTTTCCTAGTCCTAACCACGACAAGACTCCACCTGACTGAGCGGTTGAATCGGGGTTTGTGTCGGTTGACTGAGGCCCGGGCTGTGATTCCGGCTGAGGATTGGCTGGAGAGTTGGATTGATCTGCCACTTGATCGTTCTGGTTCCCTAAAAAGCCAAACATGCTTCTATTTTCGAGGAGAAAGAGACGTTTAGGTGCTGCATTACATGAAAGGATTGCGACAGAACTATTTACCGCTTTTGGTACATGCTATCGCTGTTATCTGGCGCCTGATCAGAGGATGGCTTAACCCCACCATGCTTGTAACTGTTGGCAAGGAAATGTCTTATGCTAGGTCCTGAACGGTCCGATCCATAACGGCTATCATAACGGCCAAGCTGACCTTCCCTAGTCGCGGCGAAGTCAGAAGAACGAAAATCATGAGCTCTCAAGTCATCTACAGTTTAGCCGCGTGATTCCCAACTTACTTGTATCCATCGTCTTGGCTGAGGTCTTGATCACCCATGTCGGATGAATACGCGTCATCACCGCTTTGGTACGCCCGCGAGGCGTGAAGTGCCCTTCGCCCAAGGAGACGATTGAGACCGATGCCATTGGTGTTAACGCCTTCTCCGCCAAGGACAGGTAATCGATTGGTCAGTCCTCCTCCTGAACCAACCGCTCTGACCTGATCACTGTCGCTAGCGTCAGAACCAACTACCGGTTGACCGCTGACTGCATCACCGCTGCCGAGGAGTCCGTTTAGCAAACCTACACCCGCCTGGCCATTTGCGTTGCCGAGAAGACCGTCTGCGGGCAAACCATCGACGATACCGTTTAACCTTCCGTCGCCGAGAGCAGGTCCAGCCACAGGCAAATTAACGAGACCGTCCGTTGCTCCACGGCGCAATAATCCTCCTGGAGCGACCCCACCGCCGCCGAGGAGTCCGTTTAGCAGACCTCCCGTGCCTACTAGACCCGCCTGGTTATTAGTGTTGCCAGTAGAGCCAACTAAGTTGTTGACAATACCGCCTACACCGTCCTCACCAAGAGCAGGTCCAGCCACAGGTACGTTGACAAGACCATCCGATACTTCACGACGCAATAATCCTCCAGGAGTGCCCCCGCCGCCGCCGAGGAGTCCGTTTAGCAGACCTCCTGTGTCCACCAGACCTGCCTGACTATCAGTGTTGCCAGTAGAGCCAACTAAGTTGTTGACAATACCGCCTACACCGTCGTCGCCGAGAGCAGGTCCAACCACAGGTACGTTAACGAGACCATCCGTTGCTCCACGACGCAATAATCCTCCAGGAGCGCCCCCACCGCCGCCAAGGAGTCCGTTTAACAGACCTCCTGTGCCTACTAGACCCGCCTGGTTATTAGTGTTGCCAGTAGAGCCAACTAAGTTGTTGACAATACCGCCTACACCGTCGTCGCCGAGAGCTTGTCCAACCACAGGTACGTTAACGAGACCATCCGTTGCTCCACGACGCAATAATCCTCCAGGAGCGCCCCCACCGCCGCCAAGGAGTCCGTTTAGCAAACCTCCTGTGTCCACCAGACCTGCCTGACTATTCACATTGCCAGTAGAGCCAACTAAGTTGTTGACAATACCGATAAGACCGTCGGTTTCTTGACGGCGCATCAATCCCCCTTGATTTCCTCTGAAGAGCGAATCGACTACAGGTAGATTGCTTAGCAAGCCTCCCTGTCCATCTAAGCCTGCTTGGCCGTTTCCAGTGAGGATCGGACCGGCCACTGGAAGACCCGAGAACAGTCCTCCTGCCGCATTAGACACTTGTTGGTTGCCTCCGGAAATATCACCAGGGTCTGGAAAGTTTTCTGAAGCGTCTGGATCGCCTTGCTCATTCAGGTCGTCTGGGTAAATCCCAGAGTCTTGTGAGGGAGAGGCGCCAAAGTTTTGTATGCTGTCGTCTTCAGGACTGTTCATCAAGGCTTAATGTTAGCATAAGTGTATCGCTCTTCTGTAAGACACTACTCACTCATCTACATTGCCAAAATCAGGAATGTCAGAGACGGGAAGACCGTTATCTGAACGCTTGTGCAAAGCCCTTGTATATCCATCTTCTACTGGGCGTCGAGCATTGTACTGGTTGTTTTGACCCCCAGAATACCTTGCAAAGCAGAGCACAGTCTCAGCTTAAACACATCTAGATGTTCAGTAGGTCCAACTTACTGAGGTGCACTTGAGCCCATTCCACCAGCATTCAGCGGTAGATTTCCACCGATATTTCCATTAATTGAACCGCTTACTCCGCTGAGCGGGAGATTGATGTTTTGACCTTGACCACCGACAACTGGAACATTTCCAACAAGGCTTCCTGGGGAAGGAATACCACCAGTAAGACCGGAGATAGGGCCCCCCACACTTCAAGAGATAAAATCCAAGTTATCAGTCGTTGTAGTTTTGCAATAATAGAAATGTGGGCTTTACCCATTGAGGTTTACACCGACACCTTGGTTGCCGCCAACGACTCCACCCACAAGTCCAGGGATTAACCCACTTAAGTTGTAGTACAGGGGATAGAAACATTCAGTTAGCTATGTGTTGTAAATTACAGTTTGAATCTGATTTCTCTCAAGTCTTACCCATGTAATTGAGTGTTGCCCCCCTGCCCACCAAGCAAGGCCCCGGTAACCGGAATATTACCTAGTGCGCCTTGAGGCCCAGAAAGGCCCGCCGTGAGACCACCTGTGAGACCTGGAACTGAACCCAAAACACTGTAGATGACGGGTACGGCAAAGCTGTTAACAGGAAAATTTAGATAATAAAACTATTTGATGGAATTCCTACCCATTGACACCTCCTGCACCGCCAAGCGCAGATCCAACAACAGGTAGGTTACCCGAAAGTCCCGGCGAGCTTCCCGAAAATCCTGCATTGGGACCCCTCGGACTGAATAAATACAAACAGAAATAAGAAAGTGAAGAAAATATATTGATGGTGTGTTAAACACAATTCGTTTTTACAAGTCTTACCCATTTAATCCAGCAGCTTGCCCCTGACTGCCAAGTAATGAGCCAACAGGCAAGTTGCCCACAGGCCCTTGAGCTCCAGTCAACCCAGAAATTGAACCCGATATGCTTAAAAATTTGTGAAATCTGATTAGAGGGCCGTAAGACAACATCTTTCCTGATGACAATTTGCTTACCCATTTGTACCTCCTGAAGGCCCTCGTCCGCCAACAACAGATCCTAACACAGGAAGATTGTTCAAAAGGCCTGGTGCGCCACCTGGTCTTGGGGTTGACCCTCTTGGCCTGGAAGATTGCAATCAAAAATTGTTGTCATCAAATGTTTATCCATCAGCTTTAGGTGAACTAGAGCGTATTTCAAAGAATCTGGGGAGTATGCATTCATACCCATTGGCCATGTTGAAAGCCCCTTGTCCACTTCCTGTTAAGGAACCGGTTACAGGCAAGTTACCTAAGGGGCCTTGAGAGCCGGCAAGGCTTCCAGTAAGACCCGGAATAGTACCCGGATTCCTAGGCACAATTAAACCGAAAATTTCATCAGCTTACTACTGAAACAGTTAGAGTTATTTGAAATTTGAAAGATTCTGATTGCTTTACCCATTTACAGCCCCAGGAAGGCTTGGTGCACCAAGGACAGATCCGACACCTGGCAAGCTTCCTGAAAGGCCTTGTGGTCCGCCATTTGAGTCAGAACCTAAACCTATCCCGCCGGTAAGACCAGAAACAGTTCCTAGAGGACTGATGAAAAAAGAAATACGATTGAATTAAATCCACGGAAATATAATAGAAATTGATGCTGTTTTACCCATTTACAGCCCCAGAAAGGCCTTGTCCACCAAGGACAGAACCAGCGCCTGGTACACCGATTGAAGGGCCTTGCGGTCCAATGTTTGATCCTGATCCTAAACCGATACCTCCAGTAAGACCAGAAACAGTACCCAGAGCACTAATTAAAATAAAAATATCTATAAATCAGCATGTGGCAGCAAGGTGTAGAGTTTCAGAATTTGGACAAGATCAATATCTCCATATGTACCCATTTACAGCCCCGGAAGGGCCTTGTCCGCTGAGCACAGATCCTCCACCCGGAAAGCTTCCTGAAGGCCCTCGAAGTGCACCATTTGCTCCGGATCCTAAACCAACACCTCCAGTTAGACCAGAGACGGTTGCCAGGGGGCTAAAAAATGCAAGGAATATAATCTCAAATTAGTGGCTAACTTAAGCCAGTGTGAAATAAGAAATTGGTGCTTACCCATTTACAGAGCCAGCAATGCCTTGTCCTCCTGGGGAAGATCCAACATTAGGCAAATTAACCAAAGAGCCTCTGGAGCCGTCATTTGATCCAGGTCCTAAGCCAATACCTGGGGCGATACCAGAAACAGTGCCTAGGGGACTGATGATCAATGAGAAAAAATGAACTGATGAGCTGCGACCCAATGGCGATATCATATGAATATGGATACTCATTTACCCATTTACAGTCCCGGAGAGGCCTTGTCCACCTACAACAGAACCAACAGCTGGAAGGTTTCCTAAGAGACCTTGTGGGCCACTGGAGGGTCCTGAGGTTGATCCTCTCGGACTGAGACAATGGCATGAAATTGAGCATTTTAGATGTACAAAGCAAGCAAAAAAATCAACAGTATGTACGAACCCATTAGGGTTGCCGCCAGGATTAGTGGAGGGTCCCTGACCTCCGAGCAAGGACCCAAGATTACCTACGCCTTGAGATCCGGTGATACTACCAGAAAGACCGGAATTGGGCGCTTGTGGGCTTATTTTGGGAACATGTAACTTAGCTTTTATCCTGCATTGTTGAATAAAAGCCCCATGTTTTTACTTACATGTTCGGAATGTCATTACCGCCTTGGGCGCCGAGACCTGGAATGTTTCCCAAAGTGCCTTGAGCACCTGGTCTCCCATTCGTCATCCCCAAAACCGACCCTTGAATGCTAGAGTGAAGATATATTTGAGCAAAGTTGGGGATTCAGTTGGGTTCCAGGTTACATCTGTGTCTAGTAGACCAACTCCGATGACAGTCACAACACATACCCATTCAAATTAACACCTGCTCCTGGCCCACCAACGCTGGGAATATTTGCTAAGGGGCCTTTATCTGCCGTGATTCCACCTGTAGTCCCAGGAACCGTACCCAGAGCGCTTTGAAGAAAAAAACACAAAAGGATAGTGAGTTGAAGTGGAATGAGTATTTTTGTTACAATCAATTGGAGAGAATCAATCTTACCCATTCAGTGTTCCGTCGGAAGTTTGAGCACTCAAAACAGAGCCAACCCCTGGGAAATTGCCCAAAGGGCCGGGGGGAGTACCTGCAGCGCCCGGAGTGGGAATTTTGGGACTGGACAATATTGTTCATAAGGTCAGTTTGGGTTATTAGATTTCAACTTGAAGTATTTTTTTACCTATTCAAATTAGAGGAAGGCCCTTGACCCGGTACAAAGGCTCCTTTAGGTGAGGGGCCCTGCAATCCAGGAACTCCGCCTGTTAGCCCAGAATTGGCACCTTGAGGGCTGCGAAACGATTCAAAATTAGAAACTGGAATTTCTTCATGTGATGGAGATAAACTTTCATAGAGATGAGTGTTATCCTACCTGTTAGCGCTGCTACCGGGGGCTTGGCCGCCTGAGGGAAACCCAGAACCTGGGGAAGTTCCTATTGGGTTTTTGACTTGACCGCTGATCCCAGAAGTAGGACCTTGGGCCCTATGGAAATCAAAGGATTTTTTTGAGCGTAATCTAGCATGTACTTCGCCAAATTTTAAGGGAAATCCTGCTCTCTCACCCGTTCAAATTTATACCAGGTAGCTGGTCCCCGATACCACCAAGGCTACCTTGGACATTTCCTGGCAATCCCTGGGCGCCGGTTAGCCCATTTCCAACACCTGAAACAGAGCCGGTTAAACTACCGAGGTGGAAAAGATTTTTTAGGAGTTCAGGCGAAATATTTTGGCTAATATGAGTCGCAATATTTCAATCTTAAGCTTCTTACCCATTGGAATTGATCCCCGGAACTTGTCCGATTGGGGCTCCGGCACCAACCGAAACTCCAGGAATTGCACTTTGAGGGCTTACACCACAAAAAAAAAAAAAACAATGAGCCTTTTTGACGCTTCAGTTGAAGAAGTGCCAAATCGTACCCGTCTCCGTTTCCTATTGGGCCACGTCCAAGACTTCCGACAGGGGCTGGTCCGCCAGGTTGAATACTATAAAATGTCGTGTCAGCGACAGCCGTCTAGCTGAACGAGTTGGACTACAAGAATTAATCAGACTTGCCCTCCGATCGGGACTCCGCTGCCATTTTGTGAATTCGGGCTGTGGCAGTGGAACAGGGAGCAGATTCAGCGACAAGACTATGAAGCATCTCAGCAGTGTGTTAATCTCACACTGTATTTGATCCGGGTCCTCTGTTTGGTGCTGGCACTGCATTATTTGGACTGGTCCGATAAAAAACCAGACTGTTATTTCCGAATTCTAATTTTCAAATCAACTTTAAGTTATAAAATCAAGCTGACCTATCACTGGATTTTGAACCCCGAGTTTTTCAGTATAAGGGACACATGCATAAAAGTGAACTTTAGTTTATCAATCATATTTGACTATAATATTTATCCATACCCTGATTTTTCATTTGATGATACACTGCCCACACTTCAGAGAAAATGGGGTCTATTAAGCATTTTTGGTAGGAAGTTGAAAATTTTGGATTGATCCTCACTTAGGCTTGCTCAAATTTCCTTGATTGAAGGGAAGACCTGCAGCCGTGGAACTAGATAAACAGGCAAGAATTAAGACAAAGAGGTTCAAAAATGGAGCTAATTTCCAGCCAAGAGTATAAAATACTCACTTGAAGCTAGCACCTTGAGGTGTCGACCCCAAAATAGGTGTCACAGGCGAGGTACTGATAAGTCGGTACAAAGGAATTTGAGTGCTTTACAAGCTCGGCGCAGTGCGTTTATGTGGATCGATCTACTTACCCTAAGTTTCCCACCCCGGAATTGATGGTTCCCGGGGGTGTAGCTCCGCTTTGAGCGAATTGATTGTCAGTGATTTTCATGTAAAGATGGTGAAGAGAAAATCAGTGATAGAACCCACTTGGTCGCGCCAGCTGTTCCTGGGGCATTCTGACTCACGGCAGCTGAACTGCTATTGAAAATGAAGTTCAATCAGTAAGCCGTTAGGAATTCACGAGGATCTAACCTAGGAAAGTAGTATTTTTGTAAAGAGTACTTGCCCGTTGTTGCCTGAGGTCGAATTGGGGCCTCCCTTAGCAGGCACTGAGCTGTGATTACGTTGAAATGGGAATCAATCAGTTTGATCAAATGTAAATAACATCAAAATATAGCTACTCGCCTCCCTGAATTAGCCGGACTAGTTGTTGGAAAATTAATAAATTTAGCTCATTATTATGTATATCTATAGCGTGAATGAAAACTCACATGACTGTAATCTTTCCGGTCGAGTTGGTGAGTAAACCTCCAGCAGAACTTCCAGGATTGTTTCCAGAGATGACTCCGACGTTGTTGATAGGAGAGCCACCTGGAACTACGGGAGATCCAGCAACACCGCTCCCTGGAATCCTTCCCGGACTGCCACCTGGAACATTTCCGACGACGACGCCGGGAGGAGTTATCGGAGCACTACCAAGACCGCTTCCTGGAACGCTACCAGCAGCGATTCCCGAGATACTTCCAGGATTCTTTCCTAGAGAGCCGCCAGGAGTGCTTCCCAGAGGAATGCTGGGATTGTTTCCTGTGTTCGAAGGAGACCCCGAAAGACCCCCAAGAGTAATACCTGGAGTCGCAGTACCGGTAGTGATTCCCGAAACATCGCCGGGGATTGGGACTTTCGTACCTCCGGGAGAGGAGCCAGGAACACCCACAGATCCATCAGGAGTGGTTCCCGGAACACCACCGGGAATGGTCCCCTGAACACCACCAGGACTGTTCAAAACAGAGCTGCCAAGAGGTGCACCAGGGATAATACCCGGACTTGATACCAAAAAAGATCTCGCTGATGAGTACACAGCGAAATCTGAGGTCGTTTAAATTTCTTGTAGCTTACGCGTTGTTTCCAAGGCCACCACCGTTTAATCCCACCGGAAGGTTTCCTGGTGCGCCGGCGGCACTGGTAGGGTATTGGAATTGAGCTTGAAATTCTCAACAAACGATTCATAAATTAAAGATTCAGACTAAAATACCTGGGATTCCCGCCGACACCCGGGGCGCTGATAGTAGTACCTGGAGTCGTTGTGCCGGTAGTGGTTCCCGAAACGCCGCCGGGGATTGTGACTTTCGCGCCGCCGGGAGAGGAGCCTGGAACACCCAGGGATCCTCCAGGAGTGGTTCCCAGAACACCACCGAGGCTGGTGCCCTTGGTACCACCAGGACTGTTCACAACAGGACTGCCAAGAGGTGCGCCAGGGATGCCACCCGGGCTTGATACCCAAAACGATCTCGCTGATAAGTACACAGCGAAATCTGAGGTCGTTTAAATTTCTTGTAGCTTACGCGTTGTTTCCAAGGCCACCACCGTTTACTCCGACTGGAAGTTTTCCTGGCGCGCTGGTAGCACTGAGAGGGTATAGAAGATGAGCTTTAACATTCCCAACCAATCGTTCAGAAATGGACAAATACCTGGGATTGCCGCCGACACTCGGGGCGCTGTGAAAAAAAACATCAACATCGTTTGTTAGGATTTTGATTTTTTGTCTTGAATGTTACATGCTACTTACTTCACTCCATTCCCACCGGTCGGAAGGCCAGACGATGGTAATCTGATAAGTGGTTGCAAGATGAGTAAAGTAGTAGGCATGAATCGGGTCCTAAAATAACCTTGATGTGTAACTTGGAAACTTACCCAGTGCTGATCCCTCCAGAATTAGTGACTCCAGGAAGTGACCCCCCGATGCCACCACTTAAAAATGATAAGCAATCAGCTTGCTGTAAAAACAGCATTTCGAATACATTTTCACATACTTGGCAACTCCAGGGGCACTACCTGGTAAAATTCCGCCGAGACTGAAAGATGACACAGGCGATGAGGGGCTTCAGCTACCGAATCACCTCAGAAGCAGATAAAAAGAACTAACTTCGGCGCGTTTACCGCATTTCCGCCACTAGAATGTATGGATGATTTAAAAGTTAGGCAAAACTTGTCTCAAGTCACAACCTTAACACGATCACATGGGCACTAACCTTGGAACTGGTCCACTTGAGCCTGGATATTTAGCACCGCCAGCTTGTCCAGGCACATTATTTACTTTGTTCCCACGTCCAGTACTAGGGCCGTATCCATCATTCGCGTTACGATTCGCGTAGTTGGAGTTTGGATTCCCGAATGGAACCTCTCTTCGTCTTAAATTTTGACTTTTAAAATTTTGATGAAATTGATTACTGAGAAATTTTGGGTAAGTCAGCTTGCGTGACCATTGGTTTGGAATGACTGAGAAGGAAATTCACCATGAAGCTGATCGGAAAAGCTGACAAGCTGGAGGGCAGAAGATATAATGAGAAAATTGGATCAGTCAAACCCTTATACCAAACAAACTGAATCCATACATACCAGCTATGACTACAATTAACAATTTGGAAAGTTTGAGCTTAAACATCTCGATTTTTATTTACTCGTGAAGCAAGTTCTCTGTAGACAAAGTTCGATGAGGTGTTTTCAGTTAATAAATTCATCAGTTTTGCAAGACATGAGAAGAACGGGCAGGTTGAATGAGAAGACTTTTTATGAAAACATGTTCATGTTCATCATGAAATTTTGGAGTTTGTTCTCGGGGCAAGGTCGACCATCAATCAAATTGGGTCACTTACTTTTTATATGTTGGGGTTGGTCTTTGAAGATAACAATAAGGTGACAACGAAATTTGTAATTTTCGTTAGGTGAGTAAACCTCATCCTCGACCATCCTGCTCATTTATAAAAACACCACAATAGTTGCGGTAGAACAGTGCGCTGAGGATGATCGAGCTCGTTTGAGGTCAAGATTTGTGATTGGGGTGTTGCGAAAGAATTGCCGGTGAGTTTATTCTTAAGCCCGCTCCTTTGGAAATCTAAAACAGTCAGACCGTCATTTCATCGGGATGGGGTTGATGAAAAAATCAGGCTCTCAAGCCGGGTTGATCGGAATCAACAGGGCGGGTGTAGCTTACGGAGACGGCTTCACGCGGAATCGATGAACCCCAAGACTGGTTCCACACATGGAAGACCAGGCCGTACATAACCGCAAGAAATAGTGAAACTGAAGTGAAGTGTGAGATGGTCTGTTCTTTCCCGCAGCGGAAGGATCATCGGAGCTAGTTCGAAGATCTTTTCTGCCCAACCCACGATCAAATGGCCAAGCCTGCAAAGTTACGCCTTCGAACTCGTTAACCACAGCAAGTCCAGTCGCATAACTAGTCATCAAGAGGAATCAGCGTAATTCGCACTGATTATAAGCTCACGTTTTCACTAGAGCCACCTCAGAACACCAGGACTTAGCTCCGAGGCTTCCAGGTGAACCGGTCAATAATTTTATGTGGTACAACTCGGAAGCATAGCCTCCCGTATTAAATCGCTGATCAACCCTGCAACTAGCACCGTTTTGTTGGCCAATGTAGAGTGGAGGCCGTGGACAGGTCACAGAACTGATTGGCTGATCATGGTGGTAGAGTTTGCGAAAGCTCTGGCGCATGAAGGGGTTCGGCCAAAAAAATAACTCCGAGCTACTTCGAGCGACCTACGAGACAAAAAAAAGAACTGGAGTATATTGCCATTGGCGAGTTGATCGTGGTCATGAGTGTCACTGTGATGAACGGCTCAAGGGCAAGCAGGCTTTCAGTCGCAAACCATTTGACACCAAGCGACCAAACCTTGATGGTAAGCTTAAGGAAGCTCTGGCGTCGAAGGGATGAAGTTTGCGATACATACATAACATTCGAAAACAAACGATTTATTCCTCAATTAAGGATGGGTATGGGTGAGGATGCGATACAGGATACAAGTCCTCGACCTGAATTCGAACTTCGTAGTGAACTAGCTTGGATGAGAGCAACCACACAACATCAGACCGGGGAATGAGACCTGGACAGTGGAGTCCCTCGGGTGCCTGTGAATGACCCATATAAACACACAAAATCACAAAATGGCGATTTTTATGCCTGTTCCTCAGATGTCCATTCGGATGAAGGCTATGTAAATGCAGAATCTCCCCCGAGTGTATCCTCTAGAAAAAGACCCTGCTCTTACCCGTATACCTTCCTGGAATGCCGAATTGGCGCATCGCTTTTGCCACGATTTCGCACTTGACTTGATCATCCGATGGCGAGCCAGCCTCCGGAGTAGGAAGCATGTGGGTCTATGTATATCAACTAGGGCTGCACTCCCTGTCAAATCAATGCCTTTCGTAAAAATCTTTTGTTGAACTTGCGATCGAAAGTTTCATCTTTGGAAGAGGAAGGCCGAAGGGGAGTATGTACCCGTATGTACAGCCCCTTGACAGAAAAGATGGAACCCTTTAATTGGAGTCTAGAGGGCAAACCAATGGACTTGAATTTATGCTTCCTGGTGAAACTGTGGAGAATGAGTTCTAAAGAATGATTCTGACAAATTGAAACAGAAAATATTTTGTAAAAAGTTTGTATGTTTTTCCCCATTTTCTGATTTTTTTGGGTATTTTTCAATTATTTTTCAAAGTAGCTCAGAAAATTATGATCAATGCAATTACATGTGAAAAGAATGATTATATGAGAAACACCGAGGAGCAGCAATGAGCTAAGGAGGCTTGGAGGAGACCGACGAGGCAAGAGAATGGGACGAGGAGGAATGAGAAGAAAGGACTATGCACCTGATGATGTGCAAGGAGAAACAATCGGAGATGAGTGATGCATTGCATAGTGAGCACAGAAAAAGAGAAGGACAGAAAGAAAGAGAAAAAAAAAGGAGAAGAAATCAGACCTGAGAAACACCGAGGAGCAGCAATGAGCTAAGGAGGCTTGGAGGAGACCGACGAGGCAAGAGAATGGGACGAGGAGGAATGAGAAGAAAGGACTATGCACCTGATGATGTGCAAGGAGAAACAATCAGAGATGAGTGAAGAAAAGAAGAAAAAGAGCAGAAAACGTGTACAACGGCTAAGAGAGCTAAATACAACGATCCGTAAACCTAATGTGATGATGAATTAGGTTTACCCCTTTTTACTCCACCCATGCTACCTGCCTTGCCGCAGTAGCCCTTTCTGACCTTATCGTCACATTATAAATGAAAAATTATATAAAAAAAAATCAACAGCTTTTTTAAGCATGTTTGGATTGTGTCATCCACCAGACCAACCCTGCAATCAGGCACTGAAATTGAATTCAATTTCAATATCAATCCAACTTCTTCAACTCTCTAAACTTTGGATCATTGATTTTTCTCAATTTTTCATTTATAATCATTCTTTTCACATGCAATTGTGTTGATCATAATTCTCTGAGCTACTTTGAAAAATTATTTAAAAATACCAAAAAAATCATAAAATGGGGAAAAACATACAAAATTTTTACAAATGATTTTCCATTCCAATTTTTCAGAATCATTCTTTGGAACTCATTCTCCACAGTTTCACCAAGAAGCATAAATTCAAGTCCATTGGTTTGCCCTCTAGACTCCAATTAAAGGGTTCCATTTTTTCTGTCAAGGGGCTGTACCCTCATGACCGGGGTTTTCTGCAAGTGCATATATTGTACGTCATCTCCACAGCCACAGGTGCAGCGCATACATGGGATGTTTAGCAGTAGCTGACGCTGTGCAGGGATCATCGTACCCTACCAGTCCACTGCACTTGATAAAACCCCTTCAAGACTCCTGCCAACTCCGCTCGAGACGAATGCAGAAGACAAATACCAACATCCAATAAAATAAAACCAAAACAAAACAGAACAAACCAAACGATATCAGAAATGAGCTCGACCGAACACCAGACCATCGTGGTCATCGGACTGTCTGGAGCAGGACTGAAAACTATCAACTTGTTACTCGATCGACTCTACCATCACTCTGGACAATCCAAGACAACCAACCAAAGCATACGACTGATTGCAATCGAGAAGGCCAACTATGCCTACTGGCCCCCTGGATCATTAAGAGCGTCGGTTGTCGATGGCTTCGAAGATAAGATTGTCAGAAGCTTCGACTACATCATCCCCCAGAAAATCAAAGACAAGCACCCCGAGCTTGTCAAGGTCTTCACCGGAACAGAGGTCGTAGACTTGGATCTGAAGGATCGATTCATTGTTCTCGATAAGTCTTTGGATGGCGTACAAGTCGAGGCTGGCAATAAATTGGCCTTCGACTATCTAGTCATTGCCTCAGTGAGTCTGAAATCTATTTCTATCGATTCTAATTTGAAACTAACCTCCTTTCTAAAAACACCATCTTAGGGATCATCTTATGCCTTTCCATGTCGCCCGCCACCAGAGGCAGAAAGATCAGAAGAGTTGAAAGCTCAACTACGAAGCCTTCAGGAACAGGTCCGAGAATCACAATCGATCTTGGTCGTCGGGGCCGGAGCAGTTGGAATCGAGCTAGCAGGAGAAGTAAGCTCCCAGCACAAGGACAAATCAATCACTCTGGTTTGCTCGACCCCAAGCCTTTTACCCGATATGAATCCCAAACTCGGGAGCTCTCTTAAACAACAACTCGACCAGCGTAAGGTCAAAGTAATCTATGGCTCGAAAGCCAACCTTGCTGAACATGGGATCTCCAAGACCGGCAAATTGGAAAAGCTGACTAAGATTGCTCTGATCCCAAGCGATGATGGAAAGAGCTCAGAAGATGCCATCGAAGGTGAGAGTCCTCTCTTCTCTTTTTTAAGTTAATCATTCCATCGTTTCATATATTGATTGCGATGTCCTATAGCCGATTTTGTCTTTTTGGCCATCGGAAACAAACCCAATACGAAATTTGTCCCAGCCGAATATCTTGAACCCAAGAGTCATCTGATTAAGGTCAATGATCACTTACAAGTGGTCGGGGAGGATTCCAAGCCGATAGAGGGGGTTTATGGAGTAGGCGATGCAATCAACTTCCATGAATCAAAGCTGTATGCGGCCCTCGATGGACAGGCAGCAACGGTATCCAAAAACCTATGGATTGACATCTTCGATGCTAAAGCGGACAAGGTAGCCCATAAACCACTCAAAGATACTATTGCGATCCCATTAGGACCCTGTGGTGGTGCTAGTGAAGTGTTTGGATTCACCTTCGGATTGGGCGTTAGTTAGATTCATATCTTCGTCTTCTCCTTGCCCATACGCCAAGCTGATTGAATCCATCTCCTCAGCCCTGGGCAACCTCTCTCGCGAAAGGGTACACGCTACTCCTTTGGATGTTCAACTCTCTTTATCCTGACAAGAGCCGCTGAACGTCATCGAATACCCCCCGAAAAACAGAAAAGGTATAAGAGAGACTGTGCTTGTGTCTTCATTCTGTTGATCGCCGATTATCTGACGTCGATCATCTCCATCTCTTGTTTATGGACTTACGGAAAAGAGGAATTATATTGTAGCTTGGGTTTAACTATCTGCTTGTATCATCTCTTCAGTCAGCTCTTCTCTTTTTTTGTTTTCTCTCTCTATGTACGCACTTGCACTAGTTTCTACGATCAAACATGAGAACACTATTCATCTTGACCTTTGCTAGCCTATGAAGGTGAAGTTGAAATATTTACGATTCCGCTAAGCCTGTGCCTTCTGATTTGTATTGGTTTGATTGACCCACATAATGCAATATGTACGCAAGAAATCCTGAAACAGGAGAACCACTGGCTTCTCTGCTGGGTTATCCATCGATTTGTCGACAGGAAGACATCGCCGAAATTGGTCTTGCTCAAGCTATAATTTGATTTTGAGCTTTACATCGAGGACTTCATTTGTGGAGTCTGGTTGAGAGTGAGAGCGATATTGATCGATGGAGCCGCGTGATAGTGGTGAGTGCGGATACTCTCAAGCTGGAGTGGATACATAGATAAGGATGGTCAACAGGACATTCCCACCAAAAAACCAAAAAACCAAAAACCAACACGAACAAGACAAGAACCTAGTCAAGACAAGAGAGGAAAGGAAAGAAAAGAGAAACAAATCAAACAGATGAATAGCGATCCAACACAATCAGAATCAGGAACAAACATTTCAAACACGGATGAGACCGGACGAGAAGGGCTATATCATCATCACACACAACAAGAAGGAACGACGGAGGAGGAGGACCAAGCAGAACCAATTGATACCGATGATGATGATGACGAGGAGGAGGAAGCTGAATCACTAGTACTCATCCAATCACCAAAACAGGAGATCGATCACCAAGAAGAAGAAGCAGACGACGACGACGAACAGTCAACTTGCGACTCAAAAACACATTCCTCTCCAACACATCGCAACCATATCAAACAAGAACACCACTCCGGACAATCAACACCAGATTACCATCATCATCAAAGGAATATCACCTCACCCGAATCGGAAGTGCTAGAAGATAGTCTGATCTATGAAACTCAACACCAAGTTGACTCGCCAAATCAATCTCCCTCACCAAACCATCAAGATCGATCGAACCAGGATTCACTTAACCGGAATCAGAGCACCCAGGCATCAATCAACCCCTCCTTCTCATTATGGGAACATCTCAAATACGAGATCAGCTCGAACCAGGATGATCTCTCACCACTCCAAGACTCTCCATCGGCCTCCCTAAGATCCGAACGAATCTCAAACTTCCTCAACGTTCCGATCGCCATCGAGAAGACTATCGTCTTTGGCTTTTGGATTTGTCTTGATTCATTCCTCTCAGTCCTCACCATCCTACCCATCAAATTCTTGTACTCTCTTACCAAATTCTGTCAAAGTTTGGCTTATAAAACCGCTCATTCAACTCGGATCATCAAGAACAAATTCCTAGGAAGAGGCAGTAATGACGAACGATCAAAACATCCACATCGCAAGCGATTAAGCGTTCCTTGCAAGGTTGACCTCCTTCAGGGACTCTTGATCATCTTGGTCTGCGTCTTCCTACACCATGTGACTGATGCCAGTCGAATGTATCATTCAGTCAGAGGTCAGGTGAGTCATCGATCTCATCTGCTTTTCTCGTTGTCATAGATCAAAAGCCGTTTGGCTGATCCGTTTTTTTTAATCCCCTTAGGAAACCATCAAACTCTACGTCATCTTCAATGTCTTGGAGGTAAGGTTCCTTTTTCATCTGCCTGTGTAAAATTTCCAACAGCTAAAAAGAATATGGCATATATCCAGATTGCAGATAGACTATGTTGCTCGTTTGGACAAGACATCCTGGACTCGCTCTTTTCCCCCTCAACACTTGGAAGAAGGCTTGATGGATCTCAACCGCACATGAAACCGATATTTTTATTCATCCTGGCTTTCATCTTCACAGGCAAGCTCTGTGAATATGTCCCTCAAGCAGACCAGACAGCTGATCATTGATTACACTATGATTATCATCAACTTTAGTGGCGCATACATTGGTTCTATTTTACCAACTGGTCTCCTTAAATGTGGCCATCAACTCATTTGATCATTCGCTGATAACCTTGCTCATCTCCAACCAATTTGTGGAGATCAAGGGCGCAGTCTTCAAAAAATTCGAAAAAGAAAACTTGTTTCAAATGAGTTGCGCTGGTAAGATCTTGCAAACTATCAAGTCGGGAGTAAAACTATCAAGCGAGGTGATCTGATTGACTCCACTTTTCACAGACATCGTCGAGCGTTTTCAACTATTCTTGATGTTAGCCATCATTGCTATTCGAAACTTGATCGAAATGTCCGGTTCATCTACTTCATCTTCCCATGCTCACAGCTACACATATCACTATCTGCCAAGTTCCCTAAACCTTTCACCAACGTTGTCGCTCATAGAAAAAATATTCACGCCTGTGATCGTAGTCATGTTGAGCGAGGTATTGGTTGATTGGCTCAAGCATGCTTTCATTACCAAGTTTAATCACATCCGCCCAAGTGTATATGGGAGGTACATCGACATACTTTGTAAGGACCTTGTTGGCGATCACAAGATCGTCAGAGTAGAGGACAGCATGAGGGATGATGAAGACATAAAAGTTTGCAGCTTTTCTTTTTTTTCTTTTTGTTTTAAAAGACGGTTTTTGTTGATGATGATTTTATTTTTTATGGGGACTGAATAGCCCTTTGTTGACAAATCACCGGCTGTATCTCGCCGATTAGGATTCTCAGTATTCCCAATCTTCTGTTTATCGGTTCGAGTCTCCTTCCAGGCGATCGACATGTTATCAGACACACCAGACGAAGAATTCAATATGTTCACAGACGATCTCATGGACGTTCTAGTTGATCAGCCAAGCAAATTCTCCGTCGAATACATCAAACAGCAAATCTTCACAATCCCATACTCGAAGTTCTTCAACGCCGATCCAGCTGCTTACCTCGACCCATCCAAACAAGATCGATCGTCGCCAAGCAGACCAGAAGTCTCAGGATCATCGACGTTCTCGAACTTCCAAATGAAAGGATTCATCATCTTAAGCTTCGTCGTAGTCATGAGTTTCTTGATCCTGATTAAACTGTATATCGGGATCCGGATCCGATTGTATGCGATCAAGCGGGTCCAGACTATGAATAGAAGACTGGCAGAAGACCAGGTCAATGGGCGCGACCGGCTGCCTATAGGGCTCTCTCCCACCGAGATCATGAAGGAAGAGAATGACAGGAAGTTGATCGAGAAGGTCGAATTTGACGTCCCTCTCCGGAGAATCTCTTCTTCTTCCAAACCGGCCCCGAATTCAAATCAAGAATCAGTGGATGAAAAGCCGACTGGTGATCAATTGAGGAAGATCCCTTCCGGCTTACTGCTTGCCCCCTCTTGCTCCCACCCTCCTCCCAATTCCCTCGATCAACCCTCCTCGCAGCACAAAAAGAAACCCTTGTCGATGGACGAACTCAGTCGTTTTGATATGGTTCGCAGTCGCATCTGGTAATCCTTCCCCCCCTCTCCTGATCACCTCAGGTCCGGTGTATACCATCATTATATATCCATGTTTCTTTCGGCAAATCTATCCTTGACCCGCTCAAAGATCAGCTTGCGGTATTTCTCGTAAAACATTTTTTTTTCCTTTTTGAAAACAAAAAAAAACCAAGCATATGCGCAGTTACCTTTGTATGTATGTACATGCATTTACAACACAATCAACTTTGGCCTTTCCACCCAACTTTCCTTGTCGTTTTTTTCTTTTTTCTTTAATGGTTTTTATCTTGGGTGTGTATGGTGTGATGGAAAATACTTACTCCTTGTTTCTAGGTTTTTGTTTTTATTTTTGTTGGATAAATATACCGCAACCAGGTAAAGGAATATACAAGTCCTCTAATTTTGTTTATATTGTATTCATATTCCTAAATCAAATGTTTTTTTAACATACATAACACGTGGGATCTGCTTGAAGTTGAAGTGAACCTTGAAGTCATGACCCGCTTGGCCCTGGCATTCAAACTTATACATCGCGATAAACGTTTCGAAGAGATGCCCCAAATACTCAATATTATCTTCTTTTGACACTCTTAATTCACTAGACACCCGGTCGAGTCCGGCGCCCGCTAGGCGTCACTCGCGGCGCTGTGGCTGCCCTGCAGGTTGGGGACGCCTCCGAGGCGTTGATAATGGATGATCAGTAACAGCGGGAGAGCCTGCAATCGAAAATGTTACATTGAAAATGATTCAGGCAGCAATTATAAACCACTTTTTTTTTTTTTTGAGTTTTTTTTGAGTTTTTTTTTAATTATTTTCATAACTTTTTTTAATTATTTTTTAACTCAAACAACTTTCAAACAACCTCCAGGAGGTTGTTTGAAGACGGAAATATGTAAGAATTTCTTATCCAATCGCCTGTACAGGCCTTATGGGACTTCAATACCAAACGATACAGGCCTACCGCAACTTGCGCCTCGACGGTTAAAGGAGCTCCCCGGCGGAGGTGATCCTGGTCCAAAGTCCCCCGCAGCTCTTCACAAAGCCATGCAAAATTGGCCCGGGACATTCTGAAATATTCAAGGAATCGCACCGGAGGTAGCCGGTCATCGTTCCATGGCTCCCAGCGCTCGGGGCAGATGAATGCCACCCGTTTGGCTCGGATGTAGACTCGACGTTCGATCGTTCGCTGCAGTCTGTTCCAATTCCACAGGGCCGCGAGATGGATGACTGTCGTGGGGTCGATTGGCGGAGGCAGCATTGTGGTCGCACGGTTCAGAGGATGAGGCTGATACAGGCTGGATCCATAAGCAATCTGGCTATGTACTGACAGGATAGCCCAAAATTGGGCCCGCGCGTTTGTAATTCCATGTTGTTTGAGATCTTTTTGAGTTGTTTTTGAGTATCATTTCAAATTAAAAACATAAAAAAAAACAAAGTCAAAAGTTTTTAAAAAAAAACTCAAAAAAAAACCAAAATCTGTTTATAATTGCTGCCTCAAAGCATACATATTTGAATTAAAGAAACATGAACAACAAAGTTTAAGCAGAGCTGGCCAGGAAAAAACTTTCACCTATCGTGCTCCCCCCGAGCATACCCTGCACCAATAAAGGGTACCAATAAATGGATGAAACATGAGTGCATCTTACAACCCATTTTGCGCAGTAATGGGGGGCCGCAACACCTTACAAGTTATAAGTGGTAGACATACTTGTTTGGACTTGACGTCAACTGATGTTATAGCTTTCCCTGTAAGAATAGAATGCAATTTCCCCCCTCAACCTTGAGGCTTTCTTGTCTCTGCCCAAATCAGTTGACGGTGAACCGCAACAAAAAGTCATGGATTTATCACAGTTCAGGGAAAATGACATAAGTTTTCCTGTAAAATGGTGCATACTTCACTGCGATTTCCGTTTATCTGTTTGAATAATTTGATTGTGAACCTTGCCAATGGATCAAGAATAAGATGTTTGTCCTTATACATTTTTTTTGAGTTCACCGGTGCCAGTACTCATGTCCAGACCGTGATGATGTGCGTGAAACAAACATAGAAGCAGCAGCCATGGCAGCCCTGACACACTGTCTAAGAATATAAATACACACCAACCAGTTCATCTGCTAGAGCAGCTCTATTCAATTTGGTTGTCTTGCAGTCACTGTCCCACATCACCTATTTTGAAGTCAACAGAGCAAACTGTCAATTGTGTTTCCAAAAACTTCACTCCCTTTCAAATTCTAGTCAGTGAACGTCAAAGCCACCCTCAATCATGAAAAGCATTTCTATTCAGGCAATGCGACTCTTACACATTTTCCTCTTGAATACCATCCTGCTGGGATTAATGGGCAAAGTGACCTGCTTCCTCACATCTGAAGATATTCTACAATGTGATAATGTCAAATGGCATTGTATTTCAGAAGGGAGAAAAAGTATGTGGCAAAATAATAATCTTGTGCAGATTTAAAATTTACCCAGTGCCAAACCAATGTTTTTTTTTTTTGATTAAATTTTGATTGTAGTGGCCACAGAGGCATTGCAGAATGGTGAGAAGATGTCTGATTTACAAGAAATTGGTCAGAGTAAGCAGCAACTGTTCTCAAAATTTTAAAATCAAAAGAGTAACCAGAATTGTAAAACTGAGATGTATTGGATTTCAGAGATAACCGGGAAGTGTTCTCCAATCTTCAAATCTCAAGGGGTTCTTCATCAAGATCCATCATTAGGTATGAACAAATTCCCTTTTAGAATTTTGATTGATTGGAAAACAACAAATTTGCTGAAATTTTCAATTTGGGAATTGCTGTGAGTAGGAAATCCAGGAAATCCAACTGGTATGTTTGCAACAATCTTTTGTGATGCTGGTTTTTTTTTTCTAAACCAACTGAACCTGGAAAATATGAATACTGATTGACTCATTACAGATATCAAAAAAAACTTTTCTCAAGAGATTGAGAAGTATATTGATTCATTTCAGATGGAGGTAACCAAACTTCCTATCAAGAAGACCATATTGAATGACTTTGAAAATTTAATCAAAAGAATGAAGGATGAAATGCCCATCATGGTTTTGGACCATTCCAATCATGAAAAAACTGATGCATTGGTTTTGAATATGAACCATAAGTTCCAGGAAGCATGTAGAACATTGAAGAATCAGCCAGAATTTTCAAACCCTACAGACTCTCCAGGACTATACTCAATGATGTTCATGTTGAATGATTTATTAGTTAAATTCCTGATTGCTTCAGAGAAGAATAATCTGATCAGTCATGATTGTCTGCACAAGATATTAAATGAGACAACTGAGGGGCACATGATCTTCAATTACATCTGGGGAAAGTTTCCTCCAAGGATGGATGTAACTCAAGCCTATTTGAATTTTGACTTCCAGCGCAGTGCTGAAGAAAGTCCTTTCACAGAGAAACTCTCTTCTCTCCTTGAGTGTCAGTAAGAAAACTTATTGTTGAAATCTGGGCTGATTCCTCTTTTTCTCAAAATGTTTTGTTGATTGAATGCTGGTACTGATGAAGAATTTCAATTCAATCTTATGTTTCAAATCAGACATGTCTGTGGTAGATTCAGGAAACCAAAAGAATAGTGGTTGGAAGAAGGTGGCTCATCTGTATCTAACATTGCAAATGAAGTCTTATTTAGATAAAATAGTTGACCCAGGAGGTCTGGGGATAGTCAATTGGAAAGAATCAGGTGAAATACACCAAATAGAATTACTAATTAACAGGTTCTTTCAACTCACCTCAGCTGAGTTCACCAAAACAGAAGGTTCTCCTCATTTGAATTTCAAAAGTTTAGTTGATGATTTGTGCAAATACCTTTTAGAATACAAAGAGAAAAAGACTATTGACAAAGTTCTGATGAAACTTTTGCACAACATGCTACAATTTTTGCTGAAATACGACATTGGTGGGATTCCCAAAGAAAACAAATCCATTCTTCAGTCTTTGGATCATCATCAAAAAATTGTCATTCTTGATTTGGCAATAATTCAATTCTCTGATTTTCTCAAGTCAATATATGCCAAATATGGTGAAACATTACAACTACTAGCTCAAGGTAAAATCAAAAAAGAGAGTTTAGAAGGTATATTAATAGAAGAAAAAGATATGATTCATTTGACAGATTTCAAACAAACAGTCAGTGGTCATCCATACTTCATTGAAGTTAAAAACAATAAAAATCATCTGCAATTGGAAGAAGTAATTCACATTCAAAATTCAATGATAGATTTAGTTGAATATTGGGAGGTGCATATTGGTAGTTCTTTTCCTGAAAACATGATTGATGAAAATTTTAAAGATCATATTGGACTGAAAGAATTCATCAATTCACTCAAGCAAGAAATTGAAGAGGGTCTAAATGGTTTGAGATCTATAGTAAATGAAAATAGACATTTATCAGTTGTAGATTTGATGCTTCAATCTGAAGAACCCACAAAATCAGATTTAGAGTCCTTGGAATCAGAGTTCAAAAAGAAGTACAATTTTCAAGGCTCTAAATCTGGATCTTCAGGGGATGAAAACCCATCAGGAAATAATCCACTTGAGCTGGAAATCAGAATCAAGCACTTGAATTCTAAGCTGGGAAACTATCTCAGATCCTTAAATACAAGAAGCTAAATCAACACATTATAGAAGCTACATTATCTTGTATCAGTATGAGACTTGAAGAATCATATTATTACAGGTATAAATTCAAAGAAGTTCCAAAAACTCTGAATATAGAAATCATGATTATTCATATTTACTGAATCTCCAGAAAAAAAGCTTGAGTTTTTTTGGAATTTTGTGTTATTCTCTAGAGATTAGTTTTTCTTATTGGGTTTAATAAAATTTCCAAATTATCCTGAGTTTAACTCTTCCCTACCAATTCACCACTGTGCTTTGTAATATTCTTCTGACTGAGTTGAGCTATCCTAGTAGTTTCAGTAAGTGAATTTCCAAATTATCCTGAGTTTAACTATGCCCTACCAATGCACCACTATGCTTTGTGATAAGCTTCTGACTGAGTTGAGCTATCCTAGTAGTTCCAGTCAGTGACTACATTTGCACATAGAAAGTTACTGCACAAAACAAACTTGGCTGCATAGGGCAAGCACTGGGTGTGTCCAGGGGCCAAACCTCCATGTGATGATATGTTTGGAGGCTTCAGACTTTTTAGATTCTAAATCCAAGGTGGTAACCATATTTTTCCATGCAGATTTCTTCTGGGGGGCTAGCCATTTGTACACATGCCCTCATGCTGGAATTTCTGTGACTCCAAGGGGAGTTGCATCCTCCCAAAAAGTCCTCTTTTACAGCAATTTGCCACACACAAATGCATACACTACAGGTGCACATTTGAAGTTTTTCTTTGAAATTATTTCAAAATCTGTGTACTTCAAAATCCCTACCAAACTTGGCAAGAAATCTTTGAAACCTTTGCAAAGTGCCTATGAGTATTCTTCAATAGTCTTTTTTTAAGGTTTCTATATTTCTGACAAAAATCCAGTTTTTAGATGGATTATGCTAAAAAGAGCTTTTGAATTTACTTCAAAAGGTAGAATATTTCAAAGCTCCTGCCAAAGTTAGTAAAAAAATTCAAACCAACCACCAAAGATGGTTGGACCCCCAGTGCAGAGAAGGGGCAAAATAAGGCTCTAGGGGCCTGAAACCCACCTCCTTCTTATTCTGGTGCCATTGGAACAACAAAGTCTGAACACTCCTCCATCAACATCATCCCTTCTGCCTCAATTTTCATCTCCTCCCCAACACCAACTCCCCATCTCTTGTTGTTCTTATTTCTTTCCATTTGAACTTGAACAGTTATCATCAACTTACTGAACTTGTTCTTCAAAAAGCATGCCAATCAATGTATGATTAACAATGATCCAATAAAATCAGAAAACACTCTGACTTTGAATCTTGCTTCATTTTGTATAGATCAATCTCCTCTCCTTGTTTCACCATGTCTACTGTTGAGGAAAACAGGGCAGACTAATGACTCAAGTTCACTGACAGATTGTCTGTGACACTTTAGGAGTGAGAAAGAAAAAGGTGGTTCAGATTCACTGGAGAAGAAAATACTAGACTAATCCTGAGAGGAACTAAATACAGTATTTTTCATGTTGTTTTGATTGAAGCATACAACAGTATAAGCATATACTCCAACATCTACTCCCTGTTCTACACTGTTTTTCCTTCTCCTCATAGTTCATATTATTGGCTGGCTCTAGTGTCTACACTCCTCTTTCTTTATTCTAAACTCATGATTCCATTGCATTTTTGTTGCCAAACTCCTGCAGTTTCTTTCTCACATCTGATTTCTGTTTCCTCATGAAATTCATGACAATAAATCAAAGAAATGAGGTACCACTCAAAGGGGGATAAAATGTGAAATAAAAAGAATTGGAATGAGATTTTGCTTTTGATCCCATTCCAAAACCAATCAACAAAACAAGTTGAAAAGGAAATGGGTAAAAAGATCTACCACAAGTATTTCAATGTCATTTGAAAGACAGTTGAAACAAAATTGGAATGCCATTTCTAAGTCACTTTGAAAATCTCTCTTTTTCAAATGAACTTTGAAATGCAGTCAAAAGGGATTTGGAATCCTGTTTCAAAGGTCCATCACAAGTTCACAACCCAACACTGCAAGAAAAAGTCAGGCAACTTTGTGTAGTTGACATCAACGGTGGGCCGCTACACTAACCGTAGCGGTTAGTGTAGCGTAACGTAGCGGAATTCCCGTTAGCGTTAAGCGTAGCGTAGCGGAATTCCGCCACGACACCGCTAACGCTACGCGTGTGGGCCGCAAAAAAGGGCCCACTACGCTGCGCTACAGCGGTTTTTAGCGGTTTTTAGCCGCTTTTTCCGCTAAAAGCGCTGTAGCGCAGCGTAGCGTAGCGAAAATGCGCTACAAAAGCGCTAACACTACGAATTTTTGGCGCAAAAAAAGCGCCGCTACGCTACGCTTTTTGGGCCAAAAGCGTAGCGTAGCGTAGCGGCCCACCGCTGTTGACATGCAATATTACAAAGGCGCCTTTTTAATATCACATGCCAACTGCACACAGTTTCCTGAATTTTTCTTGAAGTGAAAGTACCAACGTCCCCCCACCCCCCATGCAGGCACAGATTTCACAGGTATTCTGAAATTTTTTTGAAAAACTTTCAGCTTACCCCATTTCTTGCATAATTGTTACCAGATACAAATTTTATTTCTATGTAAAATGGATAAGACCATAAATTTTTAAACCTCTCAGTATGTAAGATATCAATTTAAAATTCCAAAAATAATGAATAATAAGCCTGTTAAATCTAATTAAAAAACTATGTCCAATGCAATATTCAAGAAAGAGTTTTCACTTTCATGAAAAGTGATTAATACCATCATTTTTAAAATTTCTCAAAGTGTGGGAAACAAATTTAAAATGTCAAAAAATATTGAGAAATAACATGTAAAGAATTCACCAATGATGTTTTTTCCAAATCGGATTTTACCATTAAATTCTACACATTTTTATAGTGTAGGAAACAAACTCAATTTTTTTTTTAAAAAAAATAAGGTGTTAAAAATTAGGGGCTTGGTTAATTGACTCCCAAAAGTTGGAGAGTCGACTCCCAAACCCCCAAAACCCCCAAAATTTCCCCGTATTCCCCGAGTATTGGGAGTCAATTCCCCAAACCCGTCAGCAGGTTTGGGAGTTGAATCCTCAAAAATTTTAAATAAAAAAAACCCCCCCCCGGAGGGGGATGAAGTCAATGCCCCAAAACCCAGTGGGTTTTGGGGGTTGGCGAGCCAAAAAGAGCCCTCTATGGCCAGGATGATTCCTCCAGGTGTAGGACTCCTGGGACGGATAGACACGGTAAAGTATATGTATATCAAAAGATCCCTTGAGGGGGAAATAAATTGCAAATAGGTTGAAAAGCTATTACAACTTACGGGTGGTTTGAAAGACCTGCCCCTCTAATTGTACTAAACAAATAACTAAGAGTCTTGTAATCAATATTTAAGAATATGTGGCGGATTCCAAGATAGGTCTTACTTTTGTAAAGTAATCTCTATCAGACCTAGATCACGTATCAATCTACTAATGAATCTGTTACAACTTCAGTTTAATAATGGATGCTTTAGTTCTGAAGGCTTGA